TATTGATCGGAAACCGTTTTTGCTTTCAAGGTCAATGTGACCTTGACCTTTGACCCCTTGACCCCAAAATCAATAGGGGTCATCTACTGGTCATGACCAATCACCATACCAAGTTTGAAGTTCCTAGGCCTAAGGGTTCTTTAGTTATCACTCGGAAACCATTTGGTCTACGGACCGACGGACCGACAAGTGCAAAGCAATATACCCCCTTTTCTTCGAAATGGGGGCATAATTAGCACATTAAAAGTTAATGTTAGAACAACAACTGGATTAGAGATTAACAAAAATGGCGGACAGGATTTTTCCAAACGCCGACGCATGCGCAGTGGTCCCCATTGATAGGTTGAACACCACCAATTTATTCGTTTTGTTTACGTAAGAAAATACCGTAGAAAATACTACTTATGAAGTGCAAAAAAAGATCTGGTTTACATGTACACTAAACATGTTATGCTAAAATCATAATTCATAAGAGCTTTCCGCGCCATAGGTAGCACCTAATTTCATATTATGTAATATGTAATTATGAAATCCTTTTGAGCTAAAAATAGATATCTCAGCGCTTTTAATGAGCGTCTACATAATTCAGACTGTTGCTAGCAGACGCATGCTTAATAACACTTCCGGTGAAAGAATGATGTACAAAATCAGAAAATAAACATTCATTTCATTCAAAGGAACTATAGCAACGATGATAAATGTAAATAGTTACTTTTAAATTCTTTTTGATATTAGCACATTAAAAATAACGTAAAAAAACAACATATGTGATTAGAGATTAACATAAAATGGCGGACGGGATTTTCCAAACGCCGACGCATGCGCAGTGGTCCCTCTTCCGATAATAGGTTGAACACCACCAATTTATTTGTTTCTGTTACCAGCATTTACTTATTAACTAATTGCATGATAGATCTGGTTAACATGTACACTAAACATGTTATGCTTAAATCATAAATCATAAGAACTTTCCGCGCCATAGGTAGCACCTAATTTCATATTATATAGACAAGGGGTTGAACTCGCCAAATCGGCAGAATGCCACTAGTCCAGTATAAGTCAAAATTGCAAAGCCATTTTTGCCTAAATCATATGAAGTTATATGTCAATTTGCAGCTAAATGACATCACTTGTCATTTACTTCATGATTTATCCACGTACAGCCACTTTTCGATCAGCTAACAAACTTTCCAACAACAACTGTCAGTGAAGTGATTTAAATAACTTTTCTATTATAATTCCATTAACATCAATCTTTCAACTTTATAATTCAACAATTTTTTGAAATCTTACCTGAAAAACAAATATGCAATACAATCAAAACAATGTTGACCTATTTTCCGGCCATGTTAAATTTTACTGCCACTTTTCGATCACTTTACGACATCTATACTGCACCTCATAAAAAGCGTCACACAATGTCAAAATTTCATCAACTTAGTAACTAAACGAAAATTTTAAAATTTCAACTTCAGATAAACGGTAATTAACAGTTTTAACATATTTACAAGGTCAGTTTACTGTTCTATTGTTCATTTTACGTAGTGAGACTGTCACAGTTGGGGCATAAAAATCTGTCCCCTTTTCTTAAGACTCTTACTGGGGTACAGAAAGCCAAATGAACCCAACCATTGCACTTATCACACTGACCCCACTTGACTATGATTTATGAAAGGTCTTTTGCTAGTATCAGGAGATAATTTTTTGCATACAAGACACTTATCTTTTTCAGGTATTTCATCATCTGAAGATTCATTTTCATATTCATCTATTCTCTCTCTAATGTTTGGTTTTTTTGCTCTTTCATAGGAATACCTGATGTTCCAGGTGTAGGGAGATTTTGTTTTTTGTTTCTGTAATACAATTTTGCTAGATTTTTGATTTAGATGGTTTTTGTTTTGAAAGTTTGATTTTCTTTGTGTTCTTTAATTTTCTTTACAACATCATCTTCAGTAATTGTTTTTCCTGCAATTACTTTGCTTAGTGTATTTCTTGTTTTTTTTGCAGTTTCAACATTTTTAAGTAATTGACCACCTTTTTCCACCACGAGAAAACTCTCTGCTGACTTTTGTTGCAGCTGTCGGTTTGCTAAAATTTGGTCTAGCCTCCTGCGAAAATGAAGTAGCTGGCGCTATCTGATGGTCTGGTACAACATCATCATTGAATGGATAAAGACCACACTTCCTGAATGCTGATGTGATGTTGTTCACAGTCAGTGTGGATGTAAATACTTACAGGCAATGTGGCAGACATCATACCTAGTAACTGTGCAGCCACCTGACTCCCGCATATACTTATGACAAGCGCATTCCAAGCTACCTCAAACGGCCCAAAAGCAGCTAACGTCTAGAGGCTGGAGTATGTGTGAACAATGAGGTGGCAAAACAAAGAGAATGATGTGTTGAGACTTTGCCCATTCTATTAGTCCAAGTGAGCAGTGGCTCTTGCGCCCATCATATATAAAACTAAGACAGGGTTATCTTTGTCCCTAGCCGGTAGGTACTTAACAAGATGATCTTGCATAAACTGACAGAAGATATCTGTGTTGGACCAACCAGTTTCTGTCACTGTTCCAGCAGCTCCAGGGCTGGCACCTGCCATCAGACCATCAACCATTCTAGCCCCTGGAAAAACAAAGAAGGGTGGCACTTGCTGGCCAACACCATTTACACAGCCAATCAGTGTAACTAACTTGGACTTGCTAGATGTAACTGCCTGAGTCTTACTATGTTTCCCTGCAACCACCTTTGGGGTTTGTGCTCAGTGCACAGACCCTTTTCATCTATATTGAACATACGATGTGGTTTTTCTAATAATTTGTACTTAACAAGAATTTGTTTAAGATTTTTAAAGTAATTATCAATAACGTTACGTGTTGCACTCTTAGCACGTGCTATTTCAAGGGCACGAGGTTTCTTTAATTTGAGCTCTGGCCAGCGGCCAAGGAATTTGTAGAGCCACTTATCAGTCAGAGGTTTTTGTTCTTTGCCTTTTAATCCAAGGTGGATGCATATGGTCTGTGGCCCAAGTTCATGGGTGGTTTTCCTGCCTACTATAACCATATCCTATTTAGACATTGTTCTTCAAAAATGTCCGATAATAGTTGCCTTTCCTCCTCCTGTGAAAAAAAGAGTGGATGAAGTTCCGCTTTAAAACATCAACATCAAACTCTGCACTGCACCCTGCATTTCAACGTAGTGTAAGGAACACCAAAAAATTCTGGGAAGCTTCCTGATGGACATCTCATTTGCCATAAACTACAAAATATTGGCATCTTGTCAGGTTATCCAAATCATAAAGGATCTATATCAACTGCCAGTTAACGTCCCGGACATGCCTGGGATTGTCCGGAAATGGCAATGTCTGACCCGGAAGATGTCCGGGCATTCGATTTTAATCCCGGAAAAAAAAACATGATATTTTGCAAATTTTCATAAATTTTCTTCAATCAAATCTCGCATATTCACCTCTAAATCGTTAAAAACATAATCTGACCTGGTACACATAATACACAGGAACGTTGACACTTACAAGTTTACAATATACAGCCCCCCAATTATCGACTGTCGATTCCCCTCGGCAATAGATTCTTCATGCATCGGCAAATTAACATTCTCTGTTGAATTCGGCAGCGTTTAATGGTCGGCCGGGGGTTAATTAATTGTTTACGGCCCTTAACAATTATCGTTAATCCCCGATAATTATTAATTTTTTAGATCAATCGAAACTTGCCGAAAGTCTAATTATTACAAAACAATGTAAAATATATCTATCAAATAAAAAAAGGTGTCAAATAATCACCTTGCTGTGTTTGTTTTTATGACCGGAAGAATTGCATTGACGTGACATGTAGTAATTATCATGACTTTAAGATATAACGGGTGAACAACATGGCTGCGCCCATTCACCGGGTTTTATAACTTACAACTTATTTGCTTTTAGGGAATAATAAATTAAATAAAGAAATACTTTTTTAAAATGATAAATATGTCGACCTAAAAGACAACTTATAAAACTAGTAAGTTAACTGTTTATCATTAAAATTCAGGAGAAAGTCGTCCTAATTTAATAACGTTATACGATTGACACCCCCCCCCCCCCCCCTTTTCCACAACTGCCAACACATCCATTATTGCCGCGATGAAAAGTGTCCCGGAAAGCTGTCCAAAAATTATGGCATGTATGTCTATATGACCCCCCTCTGGTGACAGTTTGCTGAAAAAAATCAGAGATTACATGAGAATATTGTTTAATTGGTGTAACATTGTTTATTAATTAACTTTCAATTAAGAATTTGACAGTTAAGCATATACATATATTTCAAACGTAACTTTTGTAGTGTAGTATGCTTTTTTACTATAAAATAGCAGGTGCGTGGCCCTGGAAAATATCCATTTTTGCAGACGGAGGAAAACAGAGATCGTTTATGAAATATTTTGAGGAAATAATCTTGATTTATTAATGGGAAAATTTTAGGATTAGTGAAAAACATTAATTTTCATTATTTGGAATTAAAATAACACCTATTTACCTTTCTAATCATCATAATTCATTGCTTTGACATTTTTGACATTTATTGTAGTCGAGGTAAACATCCGATGTGCGCACGCGTCATTTCGCGACATATAAGGGAAAAAGTAAAACATTTCCGGGGTGGATCGAAAAGAGGTTGTGATCGATTTCGGGCGGTATTGGGATACGTAAAAATGACTTTGATATACTGGACTAGTGGCATTCTGTAGATTTGGCGAGTTCAACCCCTTGTCTATATATTACATATAAACTATATATTTTTTTCTAAAATTACTTTCTAACACTATCCAAACACTGTGCCGGGTCCCTTTGGTCATGTTTGTGTTCGAAAAGAATTGAGTACGATTTGATACCCAAAAGAACACGCTTGTCAACACTTAATCATATCTTGTTATGTTTTTAACATATATATTTTTTTCATTTCCTACAAAAATTTAGCATAAGATAAGTTTATTTGAAATAAGAACCTTTAACTTTTAAGATTTTATCTTGATTTCGTTCCCGCTACAAAAATTTCAGCCATTTTGGCATTAAAATAATCTCTAAACGTTTTATAATTTAAATAATATTTCACTTAACATTATCATATTGATACTTTTTTCTATTAAGTATTTAAAACAATCAATAATATACCCTTTGTATGTATTCTTATTAATTGTTTTCATCATTATATGTCTTATCATATATAGGATTAAAGATTAAATCACCATTGTAAACAAAAAAGAAATTCATGACAGAACGTGAGCAAAGCAAAGATTTTCTTGCAATTGGGAGCTTTAATTTCGAGTTGAATAAAAATGAAACGCCCGTCAGGTATAATAATATTCTAACAAACATAAAACGATTAGATTTTTGTAAACTTAACAGCAACTTAGGAAACACTTGAATTAATTTTTACAGTTACGAAAATTCGTTCTTTAGTTAATTCGTACCATTGGTATGTTTTGTTCCAAAATTCGTTCTTAAGTTACTTCGGACCATTGATATGTGTTGTTTTCCTCCTATGTCAAATCTCTTTTTGAGACTAGCACATTAAGCTTTTAAATTATGCCGTATATAACTGCTTCATTGATTTCGAAAAATGTAATCACACCAATGTGGATGGAGGAAGCTACCATGTCCTATTTTGTCCACAATTTTTTGCTAATTACACGCGATATTTTCGTCTCAAAAGAGATAAACTAAATTTTGCATGACTTAAATTTCTCTTGTCTCAGGAGTGTCTTTTCTTGAGAACAAGGAACATTTACTAGCGAAATTGGAGAAGTTTGCCTCAGTAATTATCGTCTTTATTTTCGTATGTTGTCACTGTGTGTTCTTCACATGGTAAATATCGTGATGAAGGGCGCTAATTATTGCATAAGAGACAAGCGAATTTTTAGCAAGCGATATGATAATTATCTTAAAACATCTTAAGGGAGAAATTTCGCATGTATTAAATTTCACCAGTCTCTCAAACGATAATTAGTGCCTTTCAATCAGGCCTCGACAAATCCATCCGCCCGCTAGCATTTTCGAGTAAAAGTTTGGGTCGGGCGAGTAAAAAATTGATCAGGGCGAGTTCGATTCTCCAGATCCAAATGATGTTTCTCTAAATATTTAATATAAATGAATTTATTCAGTAAAATATCAAACAGATGCCATTTCATTCGTTATACTGTCAACCGAAAACGGGAAACTGACCTTATGACTAAGTATAAAACTTTACCTAATGCGTATGATGAATAAATTCCGTAATGCCAGCAGCATTCAACAATGTTTTATACAGTAATGTTTTATGGTTGATATTTTATTGGAAACAATGGAATGGAAAAAGTATTCAGGCTATATTGAAGATTATTTAATAAAAGAATAAAAGTATTATAAACATTATTGAACAATATATAATTGAATACAGCCAATTATACCAATATAGACCAGTGATTAGTCAATTTTTTGTTTGATTTTTACAAATTTGTCCGTCAAAATGCAGGGCAAGTTTATTTTAAGATGGGCAAGTAAATTTGGAGGTCCACTTGCCCTGAAGGGCGGGTGGCCCAAAAAAATTCATCGAGTCCTGTCAATGCAGTATTTATCGTGTGAGGAACACACAACATATGGAAAATAAGACGATAATTATGGAGTTGAAATTGTTATAATTGTGTGTAAGTGTCCCTGGTCTATTGAAAAGGCGAACATTATCGCTTTTAAGAGCCTAGCAAAATTTTGAGTAGTGTTGTTGACAGACAAAATTACCCTTTTTCTTCATATTGAAGCAAATATCTACTACATTAACGCCTGTAGCCCTAAAAGATTATTAAGGCCCTGCATGTAGGGCATCCAATGTTTTGTGTCTTTAGGAGTTTTGTATGATCCACATTGACTTTGCCTTTGGAAGGGTTGTTATTATGTTTCTATATGAATTGGGATTAACTTATCAAAGTAAAAGCCTTTTCAGTTGTAAATTGAAATAAATTATAAATAAATATGTGCAATTAATATTTGGATAGGATTATTAAATACATCTTTTTGATCACTTCATTTGAAATCAGATTTTATATTGACTTTTCTTAGTGTGTTATATAGATAATAATTTGAGTAAAGCATTTTCTCAGATCCTTATAAAACTGAGAAAAGTAAGTTTTATTTCAAAAGTTTGATAACACTTAGTTCAACAGTATTTATTTAGAAATAAACTTTTGTAGTCTATCTAACTACTCTTTGAAAATTATATGGAGTTAGTGCAACCAATTTGAACTATTAGATTGAAAAAGTTAAACAATTGAAATATGAATTTAATAATGTTTGTGTATGAATATCTATTTCCAGGCTAAACATATGCTGTAAAGAATCTTTTATGTGGTAGCTTATACAGAAAGGGGACTGGAACCATAAAGATGTTGGTGGAGAGATACCGCCCTATATTGTACTTACAGTACTTGCTACTGTTTGTTGATCTCTTCATGAACTCATTCATAGAATTACTTAGATTTGAAAATGTTATTCTCCTAGTTCTACTTGTGTAAGTTATAGTTTGAAATCATTTTTGATTATGACAGTATTATAAATGTTAATGCATATATTGTACTTTAAAGAAGTGCAGAAAGATCTTTTATCAAAGTAACCTTTTATGTTAAAATGATTGAAAATATATCTTTTCTTCATTTAAGATATTATATGCCTGGATATTGTTTACCAAAATTTAATTTTGTTGTAAGCATTGTATTAATAAGCAGACCATTTGCAAATAAAAGTTCTATAACTCATTCTTTATCTGTGTCCTTAAAATGAAAAACTATTCAGTATTCACAGTAAAAGAAATACTGCTATTATATTGATATTAATTTTAACTATGATATTGAAGTTACAAATTGTTAGAAAGCTATCCAAACTTTTAAATGCTTATCCCAAAATAGTATTCTAGTTACTTCCGAAGACTTTCCGATTTTTTAAGAGATTTTAGTAAACATTTATATTCTGTTGTTAAATTAAAGAAAAAATAGTGTCAAATGAGTTAGTACATGTTTTTGATTGATTGATTGATTGATTGATTATATACAATAAATTATGTTTATCAAACTTTATTGTAAATGTAACCATTGAAGAAATGTATTATTTTTGTTTGCAGGATTCAGGACGTGTGTATATTGTTTGCAGCAATTGTAGTCTTCCTGTTATTCTTCAACACATTCATATTTCAAGCAGGTCTTGTTAACATTCTCGTTAACAAGTTTCGTGTGCCAATCACTGTCATCTTTATCTATTTCTCCCTGTGCGTGGGACTTCATGTCTGGTATATGGTGAGTATGCTGAAAATCAGACTTGAGTTAAAAATTGAAAATTTACTAATTTTACTTTATGAAATATTGCTACATGTGTATAGACAGTCTTTCAGACATACAGTTAGTATTTCTGACATAAAAATGTGTATCTTTTTTTTTAAAGCTTACACTGCAAAATTTGTGTAATAGACTTTTTAACTTGCATTTCTTTGAATTGGAAATTGTCTATTGTTATTGTTAAAATGTTTAATCCTATAATTGAGCTATCATCAGACTGGAGGTTAGTTCAGGCAGGTCTGACCTTTTTGAATCTTTCTCCACTTGCATTCAAGTAGTCAAAATGTTCTGTTGATTCAAACATGAAGTGCAGGTTTTTTTATTGCAACACATATTTTGCCTCTTTGTCAGTGTCAGTTATGCATACAAAATTGTAGCATGCCAAGTTTTATTTTTTAACACATCATATCATAAAATTACTTGTTACCAAATAAACTCCAATAGTTAACTGGCATGATATAAATGTTTGATCTCTATGTCTGTCTGCATTTGCATGGTAATCCAAACTGAACAATCTTTTGTAGTATGAACATTGCATGTACATTGCATATTGTATTATCAATGTTGAACTTTTATCTTCTCAACTTATCCAGCATGAAATAAAACAGCAGAAAAAAAAACAAGAACATGAAACATGCTTGTTAGAGAATAAGGAAAAATTGCATTAAGAGAATGGTTTGTTTTTTTCGGCTTCATGAAATTTCTCAATTTTGAAATTTCCATCTTAAAATTGAAAAAGTAACAGAAAAAAGGATTATTCGTCCTTTCTTTTTCTATTATAATAAAGACTCTATATATATTTACTGGAATAGATATTAATACATGTATAAATTTTATAAGGTACCAATGCATTTATCAGGACTGTTGCCTGATTAATATCTGTCTGTACATAGTGCAAATTAACATATACTAATTTATTATATAAGATGTATATTAAGTTTGTTTTTGTTACATGGTAGTTGACACTACAGGTAACACATTATTGTCACTTGTCTAGTTGATCTGATGCCTGACTTACCATTTTTGAGTTGCGTCATGACAAAACCAACCTAATGTGTTTGCGACCAGCATGGATCCAGACCAGCCTGCGTGTCCGTGCAGTCTGATCAGGATCCACGCTGTTCGCTATCAGTTTCTCTATTTGTAATAGAGTTTGTTAGCGAACAGCATGGATCCTGATCAGACTGCGCTGATGCGCAGGCTGGTCTGGATCCATGCTGGTCGCAAACCCATTATGTTGGTTTTGTCATGAAGCGGCTCATTTGTTTCAGAAAATGTACATTTCATTTTTAGTATGACTATAAGATGAATAGGGAAAGCTTTTGTACTTACCATGGCATCACCGTTGCTGTCACTGTGGGTATCTCCAAAACTTCTGAAGAGAATTGGTTTAGACTTCACATGCTTGTTCTTCATGATTATCTAAATTAGGCATGGGTTCGATAGATACATTTCCCGTTTTCTAACTATCAGGCTCTGAGAATAATGCTGTCTCTTGTTTATAATGGAAAATAGCTAATTTATTCAGCCTTTTTGATACTCCTTATATACCAGTAATCAGCAAATGACTAGTGTGCCAGATTCATGTTCACTGTCATGAAATTTCAGAAAGTGATTTTTTATAGGAATAAAGTGTGAAGTGAACAAATTACATATTTTTAACTTGAAGAAGCTTCTTGTGTGTAAAAATATACTCATGTAGCCTTAAGTCTGTTAATTAAGGATAGTAATTGGGTGATAAAAATTGTGAATGTTTTGCATAATAAGATAATTATGTTAAACATTGTGTAGATTGCAATTATATTCGATTTTTTTCCTACTCAAATGGATAAAAGGCATGCAGCTTCAGTGCTTGGTCAATACTATTAAACATTTCTAGCAATATTGGTGTAATAGTTTTGTAAGATTATAAGTAAAATTAGCTGCAGAGACCTCTTTCTTAGCATAATATCAACAATTCATTATTGACACATTTAATTGGAAACATACTATTATGTCCAAGGTCTTTCAAAAATTTAGTGCAAAGGCATTTCTTAGAGTAGTGCATTTTTTTAAGATGGCAAAGAAGAAAAATTAAAACTAGTGCAGAGAATTTTCTCAACCTTAGCCTGATTAAAGATATTAAAATTTTTAATGAATTGATGATAGGTGTCAGCATTCTACTTTATGAGTTATCTGCCCCTGAATGTAAATTGTTTACCCTTTTAGGTCATTTTCAAGTGTTCAAGAAAATTACCTTTGCCATTTAATATTTTTATTCTTTGCCTTAAAAAAAACATTTTTAGTAACTCCTCAAAACGTCTTGAAGATTGAAGAACCTCAAGATAATGTGTCATACAAAAATGGTAAGTCAGGCAGACAACTTGATGTAACTGTTGTATTAAAAACTTTCCGTTCAAAAACATTAGTTGACAGTGAACTTGTTAAAGCTTTATAAACATGTACTATATTCCTTGTTTACGTTGTATGAAAATTGGAAATAAATTTTGCTTTTCATAAAAAGTTGATTTGTCTTTATAAAGACAAAGTAACACTGGCAAAATTAGCCTTCAAGAAATGTTGGTGTAAAAATGGGTTGATGTATATTTAAATTTCTTTAACATGAACTGAACTGAAACATGCAAACCAAATTTTTTAAACATTAAAAAAAAAAACACATTTTTTAATTTTATTAGGAGAATATGCTACTTATTCTGTCACATGACTGCATAGCCAACAGTTTTTTTGATTGGTTGAATTTACCATGTTTGCATGTTTTTTGCAGTAATATTAAGTACCAGTAGTTTATGTTTCACTAGTGTATGTTGTGAATTATTATGGTGTAAAGCACCAAGCAATATTCAAACATTGAAACTACTTTTTGTATCTGCAAAATCTGTGAAACTAGCTAGAACACTGCCATTGACATTGTGTATATGCAACTTAAGTCAATATATACTATAAAACAAGGTTTAGTTCCTTGGTTTTCAGTATTCATGGTATTGTGAATGGTTTTAGCTGCATTTTATTTGTTATTTGTGTTTTCCTTAAAACCAAGTCTTTGGTAAAATTATCTAATCTTCATGCCAGATTCAAGGTATTATGCTTCATGATTAAATTGATACTTCTTTGAACAATATGTTTTGAAGAGCATAAAATTTAATTTTCCATACCATCATTTGTTGCCATATGTTCCAAGAATATTAGGGCTATTATTTGGTATTGAAGTCAGCAACCACTCATGATATTTGCTTGTTAAGTCACAAACTTATTTGAGTGCATAATATAAGATCAATTTTAAGGCCTATAACTTAAGCATGGATTTTAACATAATTTGTGCCTTTTTAAACTTAAAAAATTCTTGGTTAAAGTTTTGCCTGCAACATGAAACTTCAAAACTACTGAAGGTATTCACTTGAAACTTAAAACAAGCCTTCGATATCATAATTGGAGGTCACTATCTAAGACCCATAACTCTAGATATATTCTTACTGAATTATGGCCATTTTGAAACTTTAAAAAAATCTTGGTTAAAGTTTTACATGCAACATCATTCTTAAAAACTACTTGCAATAAAATGCATGTCTTTGGGATCATAATTGGAGATCACTGTCCAAGGTCCATAACTCTGGCATTGATTTCAAATAAAATAAGGTCTTTTGTGGACTTAACAAATTCTATGGTCATTATCTAAGATGCATAACTATGTCATGTACATAATTTGTATTTTAGCAGATGAAATCTTCCTCTATGTTAATTTTAACATGATCCAGGCTCTTGTTTTACTAAAAAGGACAAAAAATAGTCAAGCATGCTTTCCTACTGACAGCTCTTGTTTATGATGTTTGTACAAATGCCTGTCATAGTTATTTATAGACTTATCAATTAAAAATTGATTTAAATTTCCACTTAATATAGATTTCCTGATTTGCCTGCTTTTAAATGATATTGCAGTATATTCAGTTATTTACGCTTACATGTTATGGCTATTCAATTGTAACTCCAGCCTCCAATCCCTTTGGAAGGGCATAATAGTGGGGTAAATGAGTTTTACTTTCCCTTGGTTCCTGCACTGCCAGGTTGATGAATTGGTTTTGTTTTGATGCCAAAGTGACAGAGGATATGGCAGGGATTTAACCATCTGACTGTTTCCTGCAGGGCAGGCCCATTTCCTGTGCTTTGAGAATACAAAAGTCAAAGTCCCTGCTATTATCCAGGATTTGGGGCCATGGTTACAATTGATGCATCACCTTTAGTTTTTGTATTATTTTTTATTTCACGATGAATGAATATCATAAATTATTTGGCTTTTCCATGTTAGGTTCAGTTAATGTATATTTTTAATATACATTGACCTTCCTTACAAGCTTGATGTTTTGCTGTAGCTTAGATATACTGCCCCAAAAATTTAAGACAATTACGGTTTGCCTGGGAAGCTTGTTCTGTGTTTTGTGTACAAACTGAAGCACACATTCAGTAGAAACAGACTAGATTTTTCTATGTTAAGAATCGTGATATCCAGTTAGTTTATGGAAGGTTGATTGTTTTACTAAGATGGCTGTTTGTACCTCAAATAATGCATGAAGCTGGGGTAATCTCATTAAAGTCATATCTTAACTGACGTTCCACTACCTTTTGCTTAGAATAGCATAAGGAAACAGAGCAAAAAAAGAAAAAGTTAAGCCAAAAAGACCATCACAATTTTAGTGCCACATAAAACACATCCAAAATTAGTGACAGTATATCACACACTGGAATTATACTAGACCTATCAAACCATACTTTTATATACAGCCTTAACATTTTAGTTCATTAGGGTGGTGTCTTATTCTATTTATCATATGTAATAACAATTTATAAACATGTACTTATCTGTACTAACTACTTATCTGTGTGTGATCTAACATGGCAGCAGTAACATTGATAATAAAATCTTTGTTTATTTTAAATGACATAATTATGTTTTTCAATTGTTTTTTAGACTGGACGTTGGAATGATCCAGATGCCTATATTTGGAACAATGATGGTCTCAGGGCATTATTCATTATTCAAAGAACAGGTAAAACGAATGTTTAAAACACATTATTAAAACAATCATATTCTTGTGCCAACAATTTTCAAATTGAAGTAAAAGATAGAAGATATCTAAGTTATTTCAACATTAAATTTCAATGTTTCATGTGATCTTAAAATGACTTAAAATTGTTACATAGAAATGAAAAAAAAGAGGCTTTTAATTGGGCTGTAACTTTCATTCATTTCTACTGTTGTCTTCTAATTACTGTGACATTACCAATAATCATTCAACAATTTTATATCAGTACATTTTAATAGATTAAGATTCATTCTTTCAATTTCAGCGGCAGTATTTTATTACTACTTCTATAAACGGACATGTTTGAAGTTAGGAGATCCGAGATTCTATCAGGATTCAGACTGGATCAAGAAAGAGTTTGAAAAAAGACGATAGTGTTGATAGAATAGGAGATTAAAGCTAGCAGTAATAGATAGAGACTTTTAATGCAGCATCAATTAGTGTTAATTTGTAACTTTAATGTGCTAGCCAGGTTTTTAGGCTGTGAAAAAGAATGACTTGCAAGTTGCCACATGAGGTAGCGTTTTTGTTGGTTTAACCATACAAGATATGCCTTCAATACATATCAGTGAGGATATTACACAAATTTTGCTGCCAAGTATTATAAAATGTTAAACAATGGAATTTATTATGACAGATATAATAATGCTTATTTACTATGATATTTGTCAATTTTATAATGTTCAGATGCCATAAAAAAACTTGATGCATGACTTATGAATGATTGTTAAATAGTTTCTGGAATCTGCTTTGGGTCACATTAGGTGCAAGTTTTTATAGCTACTTGCAACAAAACAAATTGATCAGAAATGCCTTATGAAGTTATGACAATCTTTCTTTAAAAAAAAAATATCTGAGCCATTTCAGTGGAGAAGATCTGGTAGCATAATTTTAGACATTGTTGGCTTTTCGTTGTTTAAAGTGACATTATGCTCATATTTTCATTGTCAAGTTCAGCTGAGTTGACTTTATATTTCAAAAGATTGACTGTTTAAATGATGTTTGACCAACAAATTATATTGGAAAATGTTTAGGATAAAATTTAAAATCTGCCTAAAATATAAAAAGACTGCCCCACTCTTTTTATAAATTGAACGTTACAGGTAGATTCTAAATGATATTTACTGAAATTGCGTCCGAATCCGGTGGTTATTTATTGTTTATGCAAAGTAAATTATTAAATCAAATGAATGATGGCAAAATGAAAATTTATTTTGACTCTCATCTGTTCACTCACAATATACCTTTAGATGGGCATAATGTCTGATGGTGAATCTCTGAGTTTTTTCCCCAACACTATTCCTTTCTTAAACTAGATACTTTAGTTTTTCCTTTCTTAAACTAGATACCTTAGTTTTAAGTTGAGTTTTTCAAATTTGAAATATACATGTATATGCAAGACTGACAATGTTAACTTTTAGATTAAAATTATATTATTGCATATTCAGTCAAAAGATGATCCTTTGATTTTTTTTACACTGAATGTATGTACAGTGCCTGTAAGTTTAACACTTTTTAATGTCTATTTTACAAGAGTTTTAGAATTATTCTTTAGAGTTGAAAAGAAATTCAAAGATTGTATTTATTTGAAACATACTGTTGTCATTTTCAGTTTGAAATTAAGGTATACTAATTTTAGTAAAGTAAAATATTTGCAGCTTGTAAATAGAATTCTATTTCTTCTTTCAATAGCACTACAGATATAATGTTATTATCACTATATTTTCTAGTAATTTTGTCAAATTATTATTCTTATGATATTTAGTTTGCCATAATATCTGTGATAGTTTATTTTTTCCGTCCTTGCATGTGCCTGTTTAACACATATCTGAATTTGTCATATTTAAAGACTAAGAAATTTTTTAGAGACAAATGTTTACATTTTGATTGGGAACATAATTATGTTTTTTTAAGTTTTCTTTCTTGAAAAATAAGTTTGCCCAAAAATTAAGATTAATCTCAAAACTCGGTTCTAAAAAAAATCAAATATACATGTCAGGAAGACGTACACTATGTGTAGGCTGGAACAACAATGACATCTTGACCGTGGGAACCAAGATGACATTGACGTATAATCATATCAACGTCACTACCGCTTTACTTGTATATTATTGTGATAATAAAAAAGATAGAAACAAGACACAATGCCAAGTTTATATATCTATACCCCACAGTACATGTAACATGTATATAATTATACTTTAAAACGATTATTTATAAACAAACACTGTTTAGTTTAATGTGGTTTCTATCTAAGTGATATACATGTATGATAATTTCATATCATGTTTTCATTATGCTAGTTGTAGGTTTAAGGTTACAGGAAACACTGCCATGAAACTTTCAAAATCATTTTTATTTCACAGATTGACTTTCAATGCCTTTAGATTTTGTATGCTGAATCCAGTTCATTACTGATTTTCAAATTTGAATGTTAAAATTTAGCGTACTATTAAGAGAAAAGAAGACTGTGCTAAAGTGAAAGCTGATATCTTTACTGCAAGGCAAAGACCTATGGTCCTCATAGTTTGAAACAATTTGCCATTAGCTGCATACTGTTATTTTCTCTATGACTATATATATAAATATATATATAATATATATAAGAAATTATGTTGCTTTTATTACATTTGTAGATATGTGAATTGTTTGTAAATAAAGAGTTGTATATTAAAATGTGTAAATTAGCATAAGCCTCTATGTTTATAATTGAATTTAGTAATTTATTAATAAAAGGACTAATCACAATGTGTTGTTCTATAATATACTGGTTTACTCGAAAGGCCTTCCTGACTATTTTTAGCTCAGCTTTTTTCAAAGAAAAAAAATATAGAGGTATTGTTGCACATCAGTGTTCCTGTTGCCATCCTCCAAACTATATTGTAAGTTTGTAGTATACAGTCTTCATACTTGGCCACAACAACCCTTGAGACAAGACCTTAAGTAGATCAGACTAAACTTGACCTTCATTCATAAATGACCTTGACTGTCAAGGTCAAATGTCTAAATTTTGCTTGATGTTTGCTATATGTTTCTACAACTTTTAGTTATTTTTGAATGGATTGTCTTATCTCTGGCGGCATGTAGCTTTAAGACACAACATTCCTTATGTTAAGACCTTCATATATATCAAACTTAATTTACCTTGGCTCATTTATGACCTTGATTGTTAAATCATTGTGTTTTTACTGATTTTTGCTATAATTGACTTAACTAGGTAATGAATAAATGGATTATCTTCATGTTTGGACAAAACATCCTTTTGTACAAGACCTTAAAGGTTAAACTGACCTTGATCTTGAGGTTTATATGACCTTGATTGTCATTGTCAAATTATTGAATTTTGGTTAATTGTCAAAATTGTGTACTATTTTTTTTTTAAAAACAAACTTGCTACCATATTTGAAAAAATTTAATGTGGCCTTTACCTTTAAACTGACTTGCCAAAGGTCAAATTAGAAGGTTTTCTTGTTTGTCGTAAAATATTTTTTATTTGTTTTTAAAATTTTCAACTTCATTTAGACAATCCTTTTTTAAAGGTAAGGCCCTTTGTATTAACAAAACTCAAAAATTTACCTTGAACTTATTATGGCCCTTTTACCCCCTAAAACAAAAAAATACTGAAAATAAAAGATGTTACCTTTTACCTTTAATTTGACCTTGACCACATGATTTTATGAAAATTTTCCCCATTTTATCCCACAGCATAGATTTGGACAATGTGCACAGTTTATCAGCTGACCTAGATTTTGATGAAGTGAAAATCTTGTGAACTTTGATATCACCAGACACAGATAATTTGACAGTGACCTATTTTATTGTCTTTTAATGTACAGCTTTGAAATTTAGACCATGTGCACAGTTCTAGATGTAAAATGGAACATTGAAAATTATTGAAATGATTCATACTTGGATAAAAATATTTTTTTAAATGTTTAAACCTTTTATTTTTTTTGTTTTAAGAAAAATTAAAAAGTCTGCAAAAAGTGCTGAGAGATGAAGATCTTTTTGGTGGCAATGAGTCTGTTGCTTGTTGTTCATCATTATCCATAATTTCTTTCAACAACATCACCACCCTAACTACTTGGTAGATTGTAATCAAACTTTCTCTGGTGATCTTCCAAAGCTATATAAAAATGCAATCTTTAACAAAAGTATGCTCCAAATTTCTAATAACTAGAGTTTTGATATTTGGCATGAAATTCATCTACCAATAAATCTCTACCAACTTTGTTCAGATTGAAGCCTTGGGTTCAAAATTGGCTCTACCATATGGTGTGGTGTCATGAATTTTCCATATAAGTATATACAGTAAAATATCTTTTAAAAAAAATCTTCTTTAAGACCACAATAGCTAGAGTTTAGATATTTGGCATGGTCTATAGTTAACCTTTACATTAAAGGTCTGAGAATAAACTTGGTGTTGCCCTGAGGAGTCATGGATTTTCCATATGTGTTTATTGTAAAAACTTTAAAAAAATCACTCCTTTGAACACACAAATGCCAGAGCTTAGATATTTGGTAAGAAACATTTTCTTTCAGACCTCTGCCAGGGTTGTTTAAATTACACCTTTTTATAAGCCCGAAAGAATTTCGGGCATATGTTATACCCCCTGGCGTCCGTCTGTTAGCAATTTGGTTTCCAGAGCATAACTTAAGTTCCATTTGGCCCACAATATTCAAACTATTGTCCATATTGGGTAGAAGACTCCTTTTGGTTTTGGGATCACAAGATCAAAGGTCAAGGTCACTATTACCTTAAAACTGAAATCAGTTTCCGGAGCATAACTTAAGTTCCATTTGGCCCACAATATTCAAACTTGGTAGGATGATTGTCCATATTGGGTAGAAGACCCCTAATGATTTTGGGGTCACAAGGTCAAGGTCACTATTACCCTAAAACTGAAATCAGTTTCTGGAGCATAACTAAAGTTCCATTTGGCTTACAATATTCAAACTTCATAGGATGATTGTCCATATTAGGTAAAAGACCCCTATTGATTTTGGGGTCACAAGGTCAAAGGTCAAAGTCACTATTACATTAAAACTGAAATAAGTTTCCGGAGAATAACTTTAGTTCCATTTGGCCAACAGTGTTCAAACTTCATAGGATGATTGTCAATATTGGGTAGAGGACCCCTATTGGTTTTGGGGTTACAAGGTCAAAGGTCAAGGTCTTTATTACATTAAAACTGAAAACAGTTCTTGGAGCATAACTTAAGTTCCATTGGGCCCACAATATTCAAACTTCATAGGATGATTGTCCATATTGGGTAAAAGACCCCTATTGATTTGTGGGTCACAAGGTCAAAGGTCAAGGTCACTATTACATTAAAAATGAAAATGGTTTCTGCTCAATAACTGAAGTATTAATCAACCTACAGCTGTAAACTTTTATAGGATGAACAGCCAAGTCCAATACATGACCCCTATTAATTTTAGGGTCATAAGGTCATAGGTCAGGGTCACAATGATCTTTACATTGAAAATTGAGGTTTCTGAAGCATAACATATGTTCCATTTGGCCCACAGTGTTCAAACTTTATAGGATGATTGTCAATATTGGGTAGAAAACCCCTATTGATTTTGGGACACAAGGTCAATGGTCAATGTCATTGTTACCTTTAAACTGAAAACAGAAGAGTGCTTTTTGAAGCAGGTAATACTTTATTCAATTCCCATGTCTTACAAATGCTTCATCCTTACCAAAAAAAAGAGAACATTTTCGGCCATATAATGCTCCACCTAGCGGTGCTCTTCAGGTTCATATATGTATTGTACATTTTTTGTTCTGAAGACTAAAAGGCTAGAGCTTAGATATTTGGCATGACCTTGAAATAAGGGAATAAGTAGATCTGAAGGAATTCAGATCTATAATCACTGTAACCATCAGCCTTCATTGCCAAAGAAACTTCTTTAAAAACAAATTATTCTACTTTCAAACAAATACATTTCTCCAACATGAAAAGACATTAGGAGGGGATGGATATGTTAACCTGGCTCTTGAGAATAGCCCTTAGGTCTTATTTGAATGAGCAATATGTGTGTGGCTTCCATAACAACCATTGACTTTTCATAACTCCAAGTGATTTCCATAGAAACAATTGACTTCCCATAGCAACCAGTGCTTTCCATAGCAATCATTTACTTTTCTTTACAACCAGTGAATTCCATAGCAATCATTGACTTCCTATAAAATCTAATATTTTCCATAGCAACTATTAACTTTCCTTTACAACTAGTGACTGCCATAGCAACCACTGACTTTCTTTAGAAATCAGTGATTTTCACAGAAACTGTTAACTTTCTACAGCAACTATAGTGACTTTCATAGCAACAACTGACTATCCAAAGCAATTATTTTCTTCCATAGCAAACTATGACTTTCCATAACAACAGAGATTATTTAAATTGTTATATATAGTAAAATTCTGTTATATTGTGTACATTCGAATCACATGATATTTATTCAGCTAGAGGTGAGCTTTAAAGGGACTCCAATGAGCTTTTTGGCATGATGGGACTGAAAATATTTTTTCCAGATAAATGTACCATTTGATGTAGGTTTAGACCACTAATTTTTGTGCAAAATTTCAGATCATTCGTGCACTTCGCTTTTCCAGAATAATTATTGAAATTGAACAAAATGACGCAAAATGAATAGCATTTAAACGCTTTCCACTCAAATAGGTTAAGAAAAGCGTAAAAATATGACTTTCAATTTATTTCAAAGTATATTTCTTAACTATCTTTGCATATATTTCTGTTTAAAGTGCCTCAACTCATTCATGTAAGAAATTCAAATATTATGTTTTCAGGCTTTTAAACCATAGTGGAGTCCCTTTAAATAATTAGGAATGGTTGCCCTCTACATATGATGTTATGGTTCCAGGACCTAGGTAGGGCTCAGGGCATAAAAAGTAATTTATACTAGACATTTGACATCAAACATAACTTTTTGTAAAGTAACAATTTAATTGGCCTCAACGTTTAGGTTACATAGCTTACATGATACCTAAAGACACATTTACTCAGCATTGGGGATTTATGGCTTCCCATGAGTAATGTCATGGTAGCTTGCATTTTGTGTAGTGTTCAGTGTTATTTTTTAAAAAAAGTATTTTGGATTAAGAAGCAGAGTTCACGAAGCATTATTAATTGTTTCGAAAATATTTACTATCCCGTAGAATTGTGGGAGACGACAGCGACATGTTATATATTCTTTAGTTATTTATACTAGTCCACCCACAAGGCAGTTGATTTCCTGTAAAATTGTCAAGCGCAATTGTTCACGTTTTTTCGCAATATCGACTTATTTATAGTATTGATACGGGAAGTGTTGGTTTATATTCATAAAAGAGTAAATACCGCGTTATAATCATGCCGAAAAATAAAGGTAAATGAAGGAGACAAACTTGTGTATGTTAGAATTGCCCTTTAAGTTAACAGTGAGTAAGAACTGAATACTTTTGTATACCAAGATAATTTTGATAATTTTTTACACAGCATATGGGTAGATGGTGATAGATTTTTATACAACATATTGTTAGATGGAAATTGATTTATCGTTTATAAGTGTTTAAGAGAAGATTACTGTTTCAGTAGATAAGCTAGTTTTACTCTGATTTTTATATGTTAGGGAAATAGTGAAAATCAAATCCATTTTCTGTTTCTTAGAGAAGTGACTAGTAGTTTATTATTTGCCAAACGGTTTTGTTCATTAAAATTTAGCAACAATTTCTGCATTTGCCAAAAGGAATTCTCCAGATGAATGTGATTTTCAAATTAATTATGAAAGACTATTTATTTTAATGGTATCTGTGTATTCTCTGCGTTACACCTCCAGGACGTATTTGTAAAATATCGAACAAAATGTTTCATTTAATGCTTGAGATATATTTTGTTCACACAGAAAACATACATGTATCTATCTGAGCCGTCCGGTTAGCTCAATAGGTAGAGTGTTGGACTGTGGCGACCCTGGGCGGGTTCAATTCCCGGATGGCGCAGGTCGCAAACAGGACGTTTCGGCCCCAAACCAAATCGGCCCCAGTAGAAAAATCGGCCCCTGGACGTTTCGGCCCTTTTCCGCGAGACGTTTCGGCCCTACTATAATGTATATAGTACAGACAATTAATTAACAACAATTGATTTAATTACAATTAAACAATTATGACCCTTAAATTCTTTAAATAACTATTTATTATCTTTTGATCTCTTGAACCATTTAGATATCTATTTAGATAAAAGGTGTAACAAACAATAAAGGCAGGTTAATCCTTAATTTATAAAACAAACCACTAAAACTTCTTGATTAAGAAAGTTAATTACAATTATTCCTTAGAAAACATTATTTTTTTATCTTAATTAAACTATAGGCCTACGTATTTTTTTCAAGGTGTAACTAATTAACTGTTTATAGCTTTATGTAAGTAATATCAGAGAAAACTTCAAAAGATTAAAAAAAACGGTTTGCTATAATCTCCTGATAATATTTTTAATTATTATTGTTATTAGATAATGATAGATGCTAGATGTTAAAAAAGTGATTGAATGAAAGACTGAAACCAAATCATAAATGCACAGGTCTGCTATATATTTATTAATTAGTTCAATCAAACAATGTTGACAGTGACAAAAGAATTATAGATATTATGGCTTTTGTTTTCTTTTCATTGTAAAATTACATGACCGGATATTTCGATTTTCACGTGCATGAACAACTAACTTTCCTTACCTGATAATTAAATGTGTTAGATTTTTCAATATCAAGGAAATAATTACGAGTAGCTATTTATTATGAGATATACATAAACATTGAAGTTAACATTAAATGCAACATGTATCTAATCGTTGATGGTTTTGGTAAAGATTTAATCTTTTACGTAAAATATATAAGACTTTATATAATATGTAAATCTTTCAAGGTACTTGGAAATTGGCGTTCCACTTCATGAAAATTGTCATTTATGATTATTATAACTATGAAATTTTAATATACCGGTTTAAAACACAGTACTTATTATGGGGCCGATTTGGTAAAGGGCCGAAACGTCTGGGGCCGAAACGTCTTGGGTAATTTGGGGCCGATACGTCTTGGGGCCGAAACGTCTCGAAATCCGCAGGTCACTTTCGTTGTGATTGATCATGAAATCCTTTCTACAGTCATTCGCACTTTACCTCTGCTCTGGCATGTACAGAAGTTTCAGTTTCTTGTGAAAGTGAAGACCAACTAGTACTGGTAAACTGCTTGAAAGTCTGTCCAGGAACTTATCATTTATGCAGTGGTTGAACTGTGCTCTTGTGAATTCAATGTGGCGTACTGTCGTGATCCAGATTGAAAACTACCAACACCACCACCATTCAAATTTCCAACATATCTATCCATTCTAGATATGTAATATTAAAAGTTGTTTAATATGTCAAGCGGACAATGTAAAAATATAACAAGATTCGCCGCATGGTAAATGACCTAATACAGGGCTTCCACTAGGAATTTTTTTTAGGAAGTCAGGACTTCCTTTCAAGGAATTTTGGAAGTCATGAGGTAAATTTCTGGAAGTCAGTTGTTCTTACGCGTATAATTTTCATGTTTCAATGTTTGATTTATAGTATGGGATGATACAAGTAAAAGCAATTATTTTAATCACAAGATTCTGAAAATGTCATTCCTTTTAATGTTTCAAGTTCAAAGTATCTTTACATGATTGTTGGGTAAATATTTTCAATAGAAGTAAGAACATTACCCTAACAAGGACTGTATTGTTGTTATTTAAGGACAGTGGTAACCGTGTAGAACCCTTCAGTGATAACATTCAAATAATTGCTCATTGGTATAACAAAAAAAAACAATATTTCCAGAAAACTTTTAATTCTTTAATCAATCATGGTACAAGTAGATTCTGAAATGTGTATGATGGGTTCTTCTTTTTCTACCTCTGGATCAGTACCATACATGTCTCATGTGATCAGCCTGCACAGCATTTTTGTGGTCCTTGGATTCATTGTGTTTTAAAAGGGTGGATCTCTGTAGATTTTCTGAAATAAAAAAAAACATGACATCCTTTAGCATTGTTATATTTCTTATTTGTAAAATAAAAATTGTTGTTTAAATATCTCTTGTGTTTAAAATTATTTACTACAGTACCGAACACAATTTCTGTGTATCAAATGAATCATAACACAATAACAACCCAAAATGGTTAGATTTAATCAGGCTTGTAAATTGAAAGTTTTATGAAAATAATTTCAAACACCGTTCTTGACCAAATTATTTTTTTTAATTACGTTTTTGAGATACGCCAAATTGCAGAAGTGAGCGTTGAGACATTTTGAGAGTGGGTAGGGAAAAAGATTTTTCAATGTAACGTTGCTTCTCATAATTAGCGAGTGAAAAAAATATATAATCAAATCAACATCTATACAGTAGAATGTGTGAAAATAAAACGTCTTTAACTTAAAAAAGGAAAAAAAATCAAAAGACAAAAACACGCTTTCGCCGACTCGGCAAACTTTCGGATACATTCAAAACTTACCGATGCACACAATAATGAATAAATCATTTTATCTAATTAAAGTAAAAACAGATACCTACCACAGTTTATGTCAATTAACTATCCATTATCCGTACAAAACAAACAATTAATCCAATCACTTTGTTTTCACGCTTATCAAGGTCATAAATCAACACTCGCTAATTTGTCACGCGCCAGGTGCATTCGCATAATTTCACCCATCGCTGTCATGTCAACCATTCAATTCAGGGGGCGGAGTTAAATAAATAATCCAATCGTACGCCAGGAAAGTGAGAAAAGGTCGGAAAATGGTCGTGGCGTACGTCGAGGCTTACGATTTTCGCCGTATTCCTAAATTTTTGGAAGTCAGCGGTACGTCATTGATCTTAATTTTCGGCGTACAGATACGATTTTCGGGCGTAATTTACGGCCGTACGTCCGTTAACGGAAGCCCTGCTAATATTCGGCTGGTGATTGGCGGCATGCCTCTTTAATGAGATCCAAGGACTCTCTAGTCTTTTGAACTTTCTTTGACTTTTAGTAACACTTTTCCCCATCCTATCCCAAATTCTTAATAAATAACCTTTAAACCTTATATCTATTGTCATTTTAGGAAAGGGAGGTAAAAATCGTAGGAGAGGAAAGAATGAGAATGAAAAAGAAAAGAGAGAATTGGTGTTTAAAGATGACGGTCAAGGTAATTATACTTTTACCTATGCTATTGTGTATTGTCTTGAAGATTATTTTTGATAATGCTAGCCTTTAAAACGAAAATTTATTCTTAAATTCATAGTGTCATAATTTTTTTAAATGTCTAATTGTTCAAAGAATAATAGATGTTTTTATTACTATCATTTAATAGTTTTGAGTCTTGAGATATGATTACTATTCCATTTTTTTTCCTGTGACCAATACTTTAACCTTTCTTTAAATGGTATTATGATTTTTTATTAGAATATGCTCAAGTAACAAAGATGCTTGGCAATGGGAGATTAGAAGCAATGTGTTTCGATGGTGTTAAAAGGTTATGTCACATAAGAGGGAAGCTGAGGAAAAAAGTAAAGTTTTATTTCTTCTAATAGGATAGGGTGTTCAAAAAGCCTTTAAAAATTCAAGTTCTCATATTGACCAATGCAATGAAAGTGTATGAATTATCTTTCTCTGTAATGAATATCTAGACAAGTGTACTTATTTAGCTTCACTTTTGTGAAGGAAATGGACAGCTACATTTGTATCCTAGTCACTTAAACATCTGCAGTGATGTTCAAGTAATCTGGACCATATCAGTCAAACCTAAATAATTTTCTGCACAACCCATCTTTTCAAAGACTCTGAGGAGTTTGTTTAAAACTTTGAATACTCAGATGATAGCCTTTATTTTCACTTAATTTAAAATTTGAAAAATGGTTTTGGTACCAACCAACTCACAACACCCCTGTGCCTTGATACTGTGAAAAAGACAAAGAAATTATCTGCCAACAAATATATACAGGTTTTGATTTTTTTTCCAGGTATGGATAAATTCTGGGGATATTATTCTGTTAGGTTTGAGAGATTATCAAGATGCCAAGGCCGATGTGATATTGAAATATACACCTGATGAGGCTAGAAATCTGAAAACATATGGCGAATTGCCAGAATCAGGTATGTGGAGAACTGTTTAACTTAAGCAACAAATTGTAACTTGCATTTTGAAATTGTTTGGCTTAATTCTTGATAATAAGTTCATTTTTGCATGGTTCATTTATTTTATTTCTCCATAAATAAAAGTCAAGAGCAAATTTATGTATTACCTCGGGACGGTCCGAACCCATGCCAAAGTTTAGCGCTAAATTATTTCATTGTCATCATTTCCCATAGATTGCTTTTGTACTATCTCTAATTCTCTTTGATATTTATTCTTTGCATGGTAAAGTTCATACAGTAATTGTTTTCAATGTATAGTAATTTAATGTTATATTTTGTTTTACAGCTCGTATTAATGAGAACGTTGATGACGGTGACAATGAAGGTGACTACATCACATTCGATGACTTTGATGGATCAGATGATGAAATCGATGATGTACGTTTTTATTTTGTTTACTTGCTTACAGATTAGTTATGTTTTAATGTTACAATTATGAAACCAAGCTTACTCAACCAACCTGTAATAACATAAGGTAGGGAAGTCTATGATCATGTGGTTAATGTTGCCGATAAGAATCCATTTGACCCCTACTGCTGTGGCCTGTGGGTTTGAATCCCACCAAGGTTATTGTAATAGTTCATGTGCGGAAGCTATCCATGTAGATTATGGTAAGGTCAGCGGTTCTATTTTTGCATGAAAACTGATGGTCATCCGAGGATCCCCTCTGTCAGTAAAGCTGGAAAGTGGCCCTATGGCTTTAATAGTGTTTGATGAATGCCATTTTAAAGGGTAAAAAGCTATATCTCGTGAAAAAAAATTGACAGTAGAATTATATTGTTTTGGTAATCTTAAGGTCTATTCTCCAAAGATTTGTAGCATAGAATGTCTGTAATTTAACACGCATGAATTATGTATGTAAACAGAATAAAATGTTAGGCAATAAAATATGCTTATATTTTAACTAGAATTTTAACCATGATTTTGTGCATGTGTCAGTCATTCTTCAGGAAATATACAAATGTTTTTCTTTCATACAATAAGTATTTTTTTTTTTCAAAATATAAATAACTCTTAAATCAGATGTATAGCTTTATACACTTTAAGATCATCAAGGAGAAAGTTAATTCAGCGAACCGTGAATTCAAGAGTTCTGAGTACAAGTCGCAGTAGTTTGAAACTTTTTTTGCAGAGGGGATATATAGGGATATATAAAGCAAACTTGAAAATAAAAACAAACAGATAAAAAACTTTGATAGTATTCTTGTTGAGTTGACCTATATCATGAAGTAATTATGTTGACAGAAGGCATACTTACTGGCAATACCCTTTCCCCTTTCCCTGAATTCTTATAAACTCACCCTGCAAGGTGCACTGTTACGTTTTAAATGACAATTTCAAAATGATAAAATTTTACAGATTATAGTAAAAACTGACGTGACAACATGTGTTGCTATATACTTGTGTGGTTGGCCTGTGTTGCTTAGCCACCATCACATTCACTTAATTTGAATCCAATAATACTCTGTGAATAAGCAGAAATATGTGAATATAACTCATCATTTCATTTAAAATGCAAACATAATTTTACTATTTCAGATATGACAAACATACAATATTGTGTCATTGTGTATGAATGCAGTGAAAAAGAGTGCTTGGAAAATCAGGAACATTTTGTACATAAGACAGGACAATGTTTATTAAAATTTTTAGAAGACTTGAAATAAGTCTTCCTAGTGTAGAGTCTTTCAGATGCTGGCAATGGTCAAGTGGTCAATAAAGTGGGACGTCTTATTGTGTAAATCACAAAACTTTATCTTGTGTGTAAAGAATTTATCAGGGAAAGAAAAAGGATTAATCTTAAATAAGTAAAAATACCTGTTGATTAAAATGAAAACAGGAAAATATTAAAACTCTATTTGAATATTTATATATTTATTGCACTTGTTACAAGCAAGTGATATTTTTCATTTGAGATACTCATATATGTCAATAATTAAAAAGATACCACATTTCATAATTAAGCTAACATTTCTATTACGTTCATGTATTGAAAATAGTCCGGGCTACTTGAAGGATATATTTCCAAGAAATTTGTTTTGTTGATTTCTCAATTATTTTTTTTTATCTATTGATTTATGTTTAATAATGTGCAAAAAAGATGAATGAATGTTTTGTAAATTTAAATTTGCCTGTATACATTTGTTTCTATATGAATTTAGAAACGCAAGTACTGTTACTATATTTAGCTTGAGTACTGTTACTATAAATAGCTTTGAGCCACTGTAGTAAGAGTGGTATAAGTGTGCGATGGTATAACAATATCTATAGTTCGAAACCTTTTTATTTTTGGGTGTAAAACTGGAGGTTTGCTGTGCAAAAACTTTGTACTCTTTGGGAATCATTGATAATTACTTCAGGTTAATTTAAGAGTTTAAGTGTAATCATAAGATACCATACATGATGCATCTGAAATTTTGCTTTGTCTAAAAAAATTCATATTAAGTCGATACTTGAAAATTAAAAAATATGAACATTTTAAAGTACCTTAAATAAGATTGTAAGAAATAATTATGTAATGTAATACATAAGTTGTAAATATATCTGTATGCAAAGAAGTATCTTGCTTATGATGTGTTAATAATTTTCATATGGAAGGAAGTTTTACCCATAAAAAGCTATCAGTTAAAAGGAAGATATCATTTTCATTAAAAGAAAATTTAGTTTGTAGGTAACATTTATAAAAAAAAACCAGACATAATCTCAAAACACAGAAAAGTATGAAAGTGTACAGTAAGAATTTTAAATATTTCACATAGACAATTTATTAAATATTCTCTTATAAACACAAAGCTTTTCTATGATGCATTGTTATTAATTATTGTTGTGAGGTAAATTAGCAAGCTTTCTTTGTTTTGTGTTAGCAGTGCTGCAGGCTGATTACTTTTAATAAGTCAAATTTATACCAAACTTAATCTCTGTTACAAGGAAAAGAAATAAAAAATAATTTTGAAAAAAAAAGTGAACATCAATAAAAAATGAATAAAATTTTTCCATTTCATTTTGTGTTTTCTAGTATTTTTTATGAGGAATTTACAGATTTCATTTTTAGGTCACCTTGCACAAAGTGACAGCTCATTGTTGTGCTTTGTCAAACATCGCTCTTGTACCACTGGACCAATATTTGTAAAATGCCTTGCATGAAGATTTGTCAATGTTCAAATAATCTCATTCAGTGTAGTACAAGATCTTTTATAAACAAGAGCCGGTTGAACCGGGTGATGCTCCCCGAATAGGTTTTGGACACAGGAAGGTATACCTCTTGTTGTGTCAGAGTTATGTTACAGACAAAGTTCAAAGTGTAAAAACAACCAAAATATTGTGCACGACACATTGTCTCAATATGGTGATCATTTTTGTGAAATAGTTTGTAAAATCCTACTTCAAATAACGAAGTTATGCGCCGGACATGATTTTGCTGCAAAGTCATGCTGTGACCTTGACCTTCAAGGTAGCGACCCAAATGTTGCATGCGACATGTCTTCTCAATATGGTGATCATCTCTGTGAAATAGTTGTTAAATCCGACTTCCAGTAATGAAGTTATGGGCCGGACACGATTTTGCTGTAAGGTCAGGCCGTGACCTTGACCTTCAAGGTAGCGACCCAAATGTTGCGCGCGACACAATGTCTCATTGTGGTGATCATTTCTGTGAAATAGTTGTAAAATCCGACTTCAAATAATGAAGTTATGTGCCGGACACAATTTTGCTGCAAGGTCATGCTGTGACCTTGACCTTCAAGGTAGCGACCCAAATGTTGCGCGCAACATGTCGTCTCAATATGGTGATCATTTCTGTGAAATACGTTTTAAATCCAACTTCACATAGCGAAGTTATTGGCCGGACACGATTTTGGTGCAAGGTCATGCTGTGACCTTGACCTTCAAGGTATCGACCCAAATGTTGCGCGCGACACGTCATCTCAATATGGTGCTCATTTCTGAAAAAGTTTTAAAATCCGACTTCAAAAAACAAAGTAATGGGCTGGACAAGTTTTAGCTGCAAGGTCATGCTGTGACCTTCAAGGTAGCGACCCAAATCTTGCATGCGACACGTCGTCTCAATATGGTGATCATTTCTGTGAAATATTTTTAAAATCCAACTTCAAATAATGAAGTTATGAACCGGACACGATTCTGCTGCAAGGTCATGCTGTGACCTTGACCTTCAAGGTAGTGACCCAAATGTTGCGCGCGAGACGTCGTTTAAATATGGTGATCATTTCTTTGAAATATTTTTAAAATCGTACTTCAAATAATGAAGTTATGGACCGGACACGATTTTGGTGCAAGGTCATGCTGTGACTTTGACCTTCAAGGTAGCGACCCAAATGTTGCGCGCGACACATTCTCAATATGGTGATCATTTCTGTGAAAAAGTTTTAAAATCCGACTTCAAATAACAAAGTAATGGGCCGGACAAGTTTTAGCTGCAAGGTCATGCTGTGACCTTGACCTTCAAGGTAGCGACCAAAATGTTGCATCGACACGTCGTCTCAATATGGTGATCATCTCTGTGAAATAGTTGTTAAATCCGACTTCCAGTAATGAAGTTATGGGCTGGACACGATTTTGCTGTAAGGTCAGGCCATGACCTTGACCTTCAAGGTAGCGACCCAAATATTGCGCGCGACACAATGTCTCATTGTGGTGATCATTTCTGTGAAATAGTTGTAAAATCCGACTTCAAATAATGAAGTTATGTGCCGGACACAATTTTGCTGAAAGGTCATGCTGTGGCCTTGACCTTCAAGGTAGCGACCCAAATGTTGCGCGCAACACGTCGTCTCAATATGGTGATCATTTCTGTGAAATATTTTTAAAATCCGACTTCAAATAATGAAGTTATGAACCGGACACGATTTTGCTGCAAGGTCATGCTGTGACCTTGACCTTCAAGGTAGCGACCCAAATGTTGCGCGCGAGACGTCGTTTAAATATGGTGATCATTTCTTTGAAATATTTTTAAAATCGTACTTCAAATAATGAAGTTATGGACCGGACACGATTTTGGTGCAAGGTCATGCTGTGACTTTGACCTTCAAGGTAGCAACCCAAATGTTGCGCGCGACACATTCTCAATATGGTGATCATTTCTGTGAAAAAGTTTTAAAATCCGACTTCAAATAACAAAGTAATGGGCCGGACAAGTTTTAGCTGCAAGGTCATGCTGTGACCTTGACCTTCAAGGTAGCGACCCAAATGTTGGGCGCGACACATCGTCTCAATATGGTGATCATTTCTGTAAATAGCTTTAAAATCCGACTTCAAATAACAAAGTTATGGGCCGGACACGAATTCGGGACGTACGGACGGACGGACAACTCGCTGAATATATGCTCCCCCGAAATTTTTCGGGGAGCTCCCCCGAAATTTTTCGGGGAGCATAAAAATATGACAAGAGTTACTGCCCTTGTACTTTTAAAGGAATATTTACATATTTTTTATGATACCTTGGCCAAGTATGTTGTGCAATACATGCATTAAATGTATTTGTCTTTATTAAGCACCCTAAAATTCATGAAATACCCCGTCCTTAAAAATAATACGTAATATTAAATTAATAACAGTAATATACATAAGATTATTTTGAAAACTTGGACCACAATATATTTGGCCCAAATTTGATACTTAATTCAATTATACAATAGTCTCATGTAGGTTAAGCCTTTCAAAGTCTTCTTAATAACTGTTATGCCTGAATTGAACCACTAATAAAATTGTTAAATCATGCCCCATGGGTCAAAATTTGCTCCATTCCATAGGTATTTGTATGCCCCCCTTCAAGGAAGTGGGAGTATATTGCTTTGCATTTGTCCGTCGGTCGGTCCCTAGACCTAATGGTTTCCGGGTGATAACTAAAGAACGCTTAGGCATAGGAACTTCAAACTTGGTATGATGATTGTTTTTGATCAGTAGATGACCCCTATTGATTTTAGGGTCAAAGGTCAAGGTCACAGTGACCTTGTAGGTAAAAACGGTTTCCGAGTGATAACTAAAGAACGCTTTGGCCTAGGAACTTCAAACTTGGTATGATGATTGTTCATGACCAGCAGATGACCCCCATTGATTTTGGGGTCAAAGATCAAGGTCAAATTTACCATGTAGGTAAAAACGGTTTCCGATCAATAACTAATGCACGCTTGGGCCTAGGAACTTCAAACTTGGTTTGATGATTGTTCATGACCAGCAGATGACCCCTATCGATTTTAGGGTCAAGGGGTCAAAGGTCAAGATCACATTGACCCTGTAGGTGGAAATGGTTTCCAATTAATAACTAAAGAACACTTAGGCCAAGAAACTTCTAACTTGGTATGATGATTCTTCATGACCAGCAGATGACCCCTATTGATTTTGGGGTCAAAAGGTCAAGGTCACATTAACCTTGTAGATAAAAATGGTTTCCAATCAATAACTAAGAATGCTTAGGTCTAGGAACTTCAAACTTGGTATGATGATTGTTCATGACCAGCTGATGACCCCTATTGATTTTGGGTCAAGGGGTCAGAGGTCAAGGTCACATTGACCTTGTAGGTAAAAACGGTTTCCAATCAATAACTCGACAACCCATGGGCTGTTGGCCTTCAAACTTGGAAGGTGCATTGGACTTGGCCAGTAGATAACCCCTATTGATTTAAGGGTCAAAGGTCAATGTCATATTGACCTTGTATGTAAAAATTGTTTGACCAATAACTCAACAACTCAAGTTGCCTTGGTTGATATTTTTTTATTAAATTAAAAATCCTTTTGGTATACACATTTCAAGGTCTTATGTAATATAACGACTTGGCTGTCATTAATGAGGCCTACATGATTCATAAAATTTATGCATATATTATTTGGTAAGATTTGAAATAACTTTGTCATAAAATTGCTGCACACAACCTTTGCGGTCACAATTACCTAGTGACTAGTCATAACCAGTAATTAACCCTTATTGATTTTTTGGTCACTAGGTCAAAAGTCAGTCATAATAACCTGATCACATGACTAATTGGCTGCCGATCGGGGGCATACATGTTTTACTCTGAAACTGAGTAAAGCCATTTAAAAATTGTCTTCTATGTAGCTGCAAGGCATAGAGCTTAGATACTTGTTGTATGGCATTGTCTATTTGTCTCCCTTGATTTTTCAGTCATATATGATAACCCTTAAATATCTTCTCCCAACCCAAATGCCAAGAGCTTTGTTATTTAGTGTGTAACATTTGGTCACTGCGAGGTTTGTTCAAATCCTGCACCATTGGTTAAAAGTGGAATATGATCATCCAGGCCATTTGTAATGTAGCTTAATTAAATGGATCTTTAGAGTGTTAACTGTTTGTTCAAATTATGACTGGGCCTGCTCTAGGAGCTACTTGATTTGACAAAGAGACATGCATGTAAAACCATTAAAAATTATCTCCAGAACTACAAGGCGATATGGTTTTGACCCCTGGTGTCAACACCTGAGGTTAGCCAAAATAATCTTTCCTGTTTAGGCCCCATATGACCTGAACTGTGTTGGTGGGCCATAAAACCAAACAAAAAACAAGGCCTGGACCTTTGATTTTTGTGGGCAGCATTTATTAATATATTTCAAATCATGACTGGAGTCATAATTGGCCCAAAGTGTGTTCATTTATTTTTTGCATAGTCTTACAAAAGAAATCCTTCAAAACTTGCCTAGACCTTGTATATTTAACAAGGTTGTTAAAATCAAGATCCTAAGGACAAAATTGTCCTTGCCCCAGGGTCTATTTTACACACACTGAACAAATCTTAATAGTGTGCATGTATAAATAGCATTATATGTGCATCCATGACCTAATTGTGCTTAAAATTTCAATATACACAGACATAAGATATGCCATTTACAAGTATTTTATTTCACCACATAAAAAATTAAACATACATGCCGATAAATGCGATGGTGCATGAAAAGTCAAATGTTGCAAAATGATTGTCTAATACTGCATATGCCTACCCTGACTGATGGTCACAGCCTGACAGCTGCGACACAGGAATGTGACATTATTGTTCATAAGTTTGGGGTATATTATTCCACAATCCTTCTTGTTCATGAGCGAGCTGAAAATTATGTACAACTTTGTAAGGCAGGTTGGGCATACCCCATACCATAATAATCATCCTTTTGCAACACTGACTTTTCACACACTTTCACATTTATTGGGCATGTGTGCTGAATTTTTGTTATGAAATCAAATAAATAAATAAATGGAATAACGTTATGACTGTTTCTATATTTAATGATCATTTCAGCATGATCAGAGCAATGTTGTTGGAATATTAGGTCATTTTTACATGCACACTTTGTTATGTGTACTCGTATAAGGAAAAACCTTTAAAGATACATTGTTAAAGTACAAGACTGAGAGCACAGTTAACTTTTATTTAGATTTAAAGGCAATGGAGTTTAGGTCAGCTATCTAGGGTCAGCATGACCTTGTTGGTTTAAGAAAGAAAAAATCATAAGACATGTAAATAATTTACTTCAAATAATTTTATGAGATACAAAAAAATTAACATGATAAAAATATGTATACATCAGGATTTTAATGATTTAAAATTTGTTGTGGCATGAATAATTTTAGTGAGGGCATTTTTAGCGTCTGATGGTTGAAAACTTTGTAGACTGTGTAATGCATTATGACCGTACTCAGCACACTTTTGTTGACACCAGTCTATTGCTGTACCAGTCTGCATTACAGTCGAGATTATCTGAAATGATAAGAAAACATTGAACTGTGGAAGTCAAAGTTCATGACTAGAAAACAGAAAAAAAATATATATAACATACATAACTTCAAAACATAACTATCCGAAATTCTTTTTTTCATACACTAGTTTTAGTGGTTTGTCTTCAATTTAACCCTCACTCAACCTTACTGCTTTTATTTAATTGACTTGACCTTTGTATTTAAAACTATCAATTGTTACTCTTAGGGTTTGAAAAACACTAAGATTATTAAACAGTATGGTCACACAGCACAGGCAAATTATCAATGAAAATGATTACATCTTTAATAAAGTTTAAAACAATTCAATCAATTAGAACATTTTTTTGTATCGCCTTCAAAAGGCGACATATAGGGGTTACTTTTGTCGCCGGTGGCGTCGGTGTCGGCCTCGGCGTCCCCTAAAGCTTGTCCGGAGCATAACTCAGTCAATTTAAGTCGGATTGACTTCAAACTTGGTATGCATTCAATAACCCAAAGTGCAGTGCACAAGGACCGGTACTCTGCATTTCTTAATTTTTGAAGTTTTGTTAATTTTCATACTTTATTTTTGTCTGGGCCATTTTTCCGAAAGTATAAAAACTATGGACTTCAAATTTCATAGGATGATAGATCTCATTAAGAAGAAGTGCAGTGCACAAGAACTGGTACTCTGCATTTCTTATTTTTTTGAGTTATTGCCCTTTATTAATTTTCATACTTTATTTTTGTCCAGGTCATTTCTCCTAAAGTATAAAAGCTATGGACATGAAAGTTCATAGGATGATAGATCTCATTAAGAAAAAGTGCAGTGTACAAGAACCAGTACTCTGCATTTCTTATTTTTGAGTTATTACCCTATATTAATTTTCATACTTTATTTTTGTCCAGGCCATTTCTCATAAATTATAAAAGCTATGGACTTGAAACTTCATAGGATGATAGATCTTATTGATAAGAAGTGCAGTGCACAGAAACTGCTGCTCTGCACTTCTTATTTTTTGAGTTATTGCCCTTTGTTAATTTTCATATTTCATTTTTGTCCTGGTCATTTCTCCTAAACTATATTGTTCACAAGGCGACGCATCCAACTCGAGGAAATCTAGTTTTTACATTATTTTAGCATGAATGTGCTGAGCAAATGAAGCTTATTAGAACCAAATCAGAGTCTGCTAGATGGAATGAACCAGTACTAATAAATTATAACATATGGAAATCATGATATGACCCTAGTATAGCCCAAATGCATGATCCTTTAGCTGAGAGGCACACCCCTTGACCATTAGGCCACTAAATTCTTCATGTCACATACCTGGTTAGTGCTAAAGTCAGGTGAAATGCTCCCCTGTCCATATTGTTCTGTGTGAACTATAACCGGAGCAGACGATAGAATACCATTAACATCTGTGACTTTATTAATAAATGGTAACAAATCTTCATGCATCTACAATGTAATAAAATTATAATGTCACAAACATTTATCAAGGCCATTTAAAACAAAAATTGGAAAAAAATGTATCACAAAATGTGACATTATATCATATTTGACTTTGTTTCTTCTCAAGTTTTTAACAAAAATCAAATATTTTTAGCGATTGTGAAATATATGTAATTAAATAGTTGAATGTTGATATGGGAAGCAGAAGTCAATGAGCTTAGCTGGACACCTGCTATGGAACTAGGAGGTCCAGGATTCAATTCTTGAAAGGTAAAATGCTGTTTTCTTTGAGCAAGAAGTTAACTCTACAATGCTTTACTTCACCAAGTGTAGATGAGTATCAGAGGTGTGTAACTCTGTGACACCCTACTGTAGGTTTGCAATAAGCTTAGTAAAAGACCTTTCATAGTGAGTTCTTATGACCAGGGCTAAAACTGTGTGAATGCTATCATGATGAAAATATGACATGTTTAACTAAACTTTACAATTAAATCTTAATTTCTGAGACACCAGTGGCAGTATCATTGGATTTATGAAATTAATATCGAATATAAAAAAAAATTATGACAGAGTAACGAGGAACAAATTAGATAGATACTTCATTTTGTGTGTTAAGACTTCTAAGTTTGTATGGTGTTTACTTTTTCATCCTAATTTATTATTTTACACACTAAAGACAAGAATTAATGATTTTCTGAAAGCCACCTACATTTCATGTCCACATGAAAAAATCGATCATTTCTAGAAACTGGACTCTTGATAATATATAAAGTAATCAGAAGTTGACTACAATTTCCAAATTTAGTAAAAGGGGCATTAAGTGTTTATGAATCCTGAAAATTTAATCTTTACAGTAAAAAATATTTTTCTTAATAATTATGTATGTAAAACAAACCTGTCGTGCAAAAGCCACATTTTTGCCGAACTCGGATGCAGCCTGTTTTAGATTATCTTCATGTCCGGCTAACTCGAGTGCTGCTTCGCAACTCTTTGACAATAAACTTCCAGACTGGAGATATACTTGATGCTCCCAGTCAGAAAACTTGACTGTATCTGGTAGTAGCACATTGCCATTACGATCTCTTAAATGTGTGAACTCCGCTGACATCATGTCTCCGATTGCCTGTGATATCATCTCTACTACCTATGTACAGAAATGGTCAAATAAAAGTCTCACAAAAAAATTACCTGTGAAACAGACTTGTGTATAATCTTGCTTCAGCTCTTGGATAACAACTTCTGTATTCCTTAAAACTTTTGCAGATACAATATTTCATGTTAGGGTTAGGGTGGCATTTTCCCGGAGACAAACTTACGCGCAATAATTTTGTGAATTTTAAACTGCTGTAGTAAAGATCATGTATCACAAGTAGCTGTGTCAGTTTCCACTGTATTCATAAGACAAGATAACAGCATACCTTATTGATGTAAATATCTAACATGACAATGTTTTCATTAATGGCTTATGTCATTATGATAAAAAATTTATTTAAATTTACCCATTTTAAGCTGTTTTTTCCTTCTTTTTTTTAAAGATTTTTTGTACATAAATTACTTTCACAATATCAACTGATAGGTACTGTTATTTCTGAATTATCTAAATATGAGTTCTCATTCAGAACATTTAGTGGGTTGTTGGGAAAATAGTTTTGTTTTGACATGTCTGTTTAGTGTTAGTTTTGAAATCAATTTAGTAAGTTCAGTTGCCCTCATGCTTCAATGATTCAAATATTGATATTGGCTTACCAATGTATTATTAAGTTCAGCAAGACCTGTGCTAGCACTTGTAAGTAGAAAGTCGCCACTGAGTACAGCTATCTTATTACCAAACTCCATATCTTTATAAGATCCATTAGTCTCTTGCAGGCTGTCAAGGTTAATTACACCTTGGTGAACTAACTTGGCTGTATGAATCATCTCTGTGATTTCTGCAAGTTGTCTTTGACTGAAATAATGTTAGTCATTTAAAACTTCATGTATTTCTTGCTTTGAACAGCAAATAATAATGTCTATATTGAGTATGAAAGAACAGGATTTGAACATATTGAGGACATCATGGAGATGTATTCATTTCATCAGGAATGATGTGTTGTAAGTAAATAATAAAATGTGTAGAACTGTCATTTATTTAATAACAATAATATGATACAAATAAATTTGAATAACAATACAAGATAAATGGAGGTATCAGCTTAGAAATGTTTGAAACGCTTCAGAATTCAAGCAGTAAACTATCTCCATATTGCAATTTTAAGAAAATAAATCCAGTTTAGTAACCCTATGGTAGAGGCAAAATAATTCACATTCAACAAGTAACATATAAAACTTTCTTCTTCAAAGCTGGTTTTATATTCTTTTTAAGTCAGTTAGTTTGATTCAAAGCAAAGTGAGAAGAATAGCTATGAAAGAAAACTCTACTTACTTAGGGTATATACCACTGACCATCTCATGCTGGTCAAATGATCCCTCCACAGCTCCTGCAGCTTTAGCCATGAGTAAAACAATTAATCCCCTAGTCTGCAAACTGTGCTTTCCATTGTCAAGGAATCCCCTGAATTATATTATAACATCTTTAGAAATTTGAGGAAGAATTTCATTTTAGAAGTATAGGGCAATATGTCACAGTATTGAACTCCATGAAACTTGGATGGTACTAAGTACTATAACATTATTCCAAGGGTCTCTGATTAGAGTCCCTATCAATCTGCACATTTTAATCAACTGGGAAACTTCCATACAGGGATTTCTTAATGTAAAGGTGCCACAGTGTCCTGTCTGGTCATTGGAAATAATTATGAAACTTCATAATAATAAAGACACAAAATTTTGTGACACTAATTAAAGTAATATAATTAATTTAAAATAAACAAGAGCACCGCTAGGTGGAGCATTATATGCCCGAAAGTGTTTTATTTTTTAGTACGGATGAAGCATTTGTAAGACATGGGAATTAGCTGTTCATCCTATAAAATTTTACAGCTGTAGGTTGATGTATACTTAAGTTATTAATAATGACCTTAACCTTTGACCTTGTGACCCCAAAATCAATAGGGGTCTTCTATCCAATATGCATTATAAGGTATTCCCTCGTGGACAGTAATTAGGATTCAACCTTTGTATTATTCAAAATAAAGTGGGGAGACGTGTAATGATAATAACAGATGTAGCCCATTTCCAACAGCCTTGCTGTTGGGTTTACCCCTTAAGAGACGTGGTTGAGTGTCCGCCTTGTAATTGAGAGGTCTGGAGTTCAAAATCTGGTCACTGGATTTTCAGGTTTACAAACATCTTGATTTTGGGCCTTATAGACAATACACCCATTGACAGTCTCTATATGAACTAAGTAAATAACCGAGGTATATCGAGTGAAAAAACACGAGTTGTGTCCCTTATCTTCGAGTAAAATCGATATCTCTAATGCTAAAACAATTAAAATTTAGCCTTTTTTTCAAACTGCTTGTTTGGACGATTTAAAGTCCGATTTTAAAATTTTACACCAATGAAAAGCTTGTGATCTTAGCTTCGTGTCTTCGAGTTCTTTACTTGCAATTCTACTGATAAGAATAGCTGTCGTCTAATTCTGAAACTGTCAATCCGTGTATTCTATATCATATAGTCGTAAAGTCACAGAATATAACTTTTCAGTAATAAAGACGCAATACGGGGAAGTCAAAGACCGGGCCCGCGAAGCGGGTCCGGGCTTTGGCTTGCCCGGCTATAGACTACATGTATATTTAAAAGAAAATCAAATAAAAAAACAATTAAAAAATATATAGAATTCTATACCTATCAATGAAATTTTCAGTGTCAGTTCTAGTCGGGCGCCACCATTTACAATGTAACTCAATGATAAAAGGCGGGGTATTCCGATAACGGAACAAATCTCAACTTTTCGGATCAATGATAAACGTCGAGTGTTCCGAGTGAAAACGGAAGCGATGCATGTAATACCGAATGACAATTTTAAAACGGAAAGAATGAAAGGAATTTTTTAACGACTTTCCCGTTCATAGGCTTTGCCTAATTTCATATTATTAAGTGGCCTGTAGCTAATCAGTGAGCAGTTAAAAAGTGTTGCGAAGGGCTTGGGTTTGCGTCCCAGTCAAGCTGCAGTATATTCACACCTTGTGACAGGTAAGCTATTTCACATAAAAAAATTACCTGGCTGTTTTAAGAAGTGGATGCTTTGTTCCAACCAATTTCCTGATCTGTATAGCAACATTGGCAAGCTCATCACTTAACAAACATCTCAAGCTCATGAATGAAGTGGGGTAGCCAACAATCTTCTCAGCTTCCGACACGGCCTGCTTCCAATCGCTACTCTTTGATTGATCAAAAAAGCTAATGTTTCTAGCTTGAACATAATCTAACTTTTTAAATTGTCTTAAATTACGAGAAAGTTGTTTAAAAACTTGTCTAACCTTCATGTTAACATTTTTTGTAAGGGGAAGCTACTCTAACAATACAATTACGCAACGTTTTATTTACATGTCGTGAGAAAATAAAATGTTTGACAGCTGACTTCTAAGTTCATGAATCAGAATGCAGAGAATGAAGAAAGCTTCAACACTCTTCAAACATATACGGTGTCACTGGAAGTACATAGATAGAGTGTGTTAATTGATATTTTCTCTTAACTTTTGATTGCTGAAAAAATAACAGAAATTCTCAATTTACATGTTTTTGTATTTTTTTTCTTTTGCTTATCAAAAAAGGGTTTACCATAGCTCTGGCTTCCAAAACTTTATAAGCCGCTTTTTAACATTTTTGTTTTTCATCAGATGCGGCATTAAACGTCATGTCATGTATATAAACGGGTACGCTGAAGACCTTAAGCTAGGTTTACCAGTGTTTACATGAAACTAGCTATCTTTATGCAGTTGTCTTGTTTGTTGAGTGTTGTCATTGAATAATCTGGTCAGGAAGTGGCACTAGTGTGATGAGGGTATATCTGTTTGATAAGGAAAAAATGTAGCTTTTCATTTTTGAGTATGGACCCTGGATATGGCAGTGACCAGGTGAATTGCCACTATTTATGTGTATAAAGGTTTAATTTTGAAGCACAAATTGTTGATAAATTACTGTACACCATGCAATTTCTGCATAAGATTAGCCAAAGAAATAAATTTGGAGCTGAAGTTAGGTCACTGTACTGCGGTCAATGAATAACCTGTGACAATAATGGGTTATCTTATAAGCACTTATCTTAGGACTGTTGATGCAGAGCAAAGTGCTAGCTTTTCAAGCTGTCACTATGAACTAAAGGGTCACACACCCAAGTACCCTCCCTCATCATCTCGGCGAACTTTTTAGAGTCGATCTCCTCAAGTTCTAACAGGACGTCGTCGGCTAATATCACACATACTGTACCGTGCCGGCTTTAATTTTAATCCTAGCTGCAGAAAAACATGTGAACTTGCTGTCTTTCACTAGCATTGGTTCCTTAATGATCTGTTGATGGACTGTTCTTCTCAACAGTGTACACATACAGATGGTATGAGAGTGAAGTGACTTTGTCTATGTGTACATGTATGTTTCACAGGATGAGAAAAATGTTCAGCCTGACCGAGACTCTTATAATAACAACGTGTGGCCCGTCTGCTTTAGTATTCTGCCACTTAAACATTTTCTTCCCTTATGACACTTCTTAACAGTAACATACATAACATTTTAAAAGTGGTGCATGGTGCCCTTTTCTACCACAATACTTTATTTTTCTTATAAATTTTAACATGAAAAGAATTTACTTTCATTATTTTATTTTACTGATAATTTACTGTTGCACTTTTTAATTACAATTATGGCTATCAAAGTTTAAGTCAATGATCACAGAAAATTACATTGAGATCAAACTGTCATGTTTATGCTTTATGTTTGCCAATTAGCATCATTCACATTACCACAGTGTTTGCTGGAATGTGGTTACAAAGTGCTCGAGAGTACAATTAGTAGCAAAGTAAAGAACAATGATGTTAAACTATTTGGGATTTCAACTACACATCAAAGTCATGTGTGTAGGCTTTGTTTCATATTTCCAATGCCACAGTTTGTTTTTCTTAATAATTCATACCTGTTGACAAGTTTAAGGAGAACCTTGTAGACAATTGTTTCTACAAGTATTTACCTAAATCTGTCTTTGTCTTCTTCTGCATATTCATGTCCTTGATGCCTTTAAGATAACAATTATAACTTTTAAAGACTGTATTATTGTACAGAATCATGATTATAATTATGTCTTCTTTTATGTAAAATAAACTGCTAAGGTTCATGTTATATGTTTAAGCGCACATAAAATCGTTAAAACATTATGATTATTAAAAGATTAAGTATCATCTAATTATGATATTATTTTGATTACACTTAGCCTTACATTCCATTAATATTATTCTAGGTTCAACCTCAAAACAGCTTACCTGTGTTAACCTCAAGTCACCAGAATTTCAGATATACAAGCCATGATGTTTCTCAGTCTAGTCAAAACCTACAGGAATCTTACAAATTCCTTAAGTCCGTATACACCACACAAAAACATGGAGTTCTTTCAATTGAGGTAATACTCATTTTAAACATTGTTTCCATATGTTTACGTCTAACAGTATTTTGAAGCTGAAAACATAATAAAAAAGCAAATTTTCATATATCATTAACTTGTTGTTGTATCATTCAGTTTGTAAAAATTCCATACTTCCCTTTTTCTGAAGTTCACTGAGCAATTAGATTTTCTTGCTTATTTTATGTTTTTAATTCTTTGAATAACTTGTGACATATTATAATAGGAAAAGCAAGTGTCAAGCAAGCTTCTGTTTTCATTACATCATTCTAAGACAATTTAAATATGAAAGTCTATCTTATTTGTATTTGTTCATTTATTATAGACAAAAGATACCCTTTAACAATGATCAAACAAGACAAAATGGCAGAGCATGCCAGAAGATCATATTGTGATAATCTTAAGTTGTAAACATGTCCTCTTATATTATGGCACTGGAATAATTGAAGTTAATGCCAACAGGATGTATCAAAATATATCTTCCATTTCAAATGCAAATTGACAATTAAGTTATCATTAGACTTTCAGACTGAGTAGATTTGTTTTTGAAAACAAAATTCATATAAATACATGTATTTAAAAATTTATGTGTGATATGTTTTTAAAATTTGAAGTAATCACATTCTTTGTGTTTAGTTGATTTAAAAAAAATTTTTTTAACTTCTTCTGTATTAGTTTTTCCATTATGATAACTTTCAGAGTGGATGTAGGAAATTTTGTCAAACATATCGTCACATGACAGAAGAAGAGAAACTAGCTTTATTGTGCCATATAGCAGAGAATTATGGTGTTGACCAGGAACTCATTGTAGATATTGTTAAAAATTTCCTTGAATCAAAGGTGAGCCAGTTTAGTCATTTTGAAATATAGTAAACTCCTTATCTGATACTGATAGGCAGACACCATAACATCTAGGCCATCTGCATTACATTAAATTTAAATGGCAATTTATATAGGTCTATAATAGAAACCTATTATGGTACCATAAATGGCAGGGGTTGAACTTGCCATTTAAGTATTTTAAAAGTATGAATTACATTTTCATTATCAATTACTTAATTTACCATATTTTAAAAAAAAAAAATTTCATGCAAGTTTTCAATGAAGAAAAAAATTAAGCTATTTTCAAGGCCCCTCGTTTGCATTATGGTTGATAATACTTAACTTTTTGTTAAGGTTCATTCTCTAAAAGCTTAAAAGGTTAGACACATCCTTAAAATTTGGATTATTTGAATATTACAATAGGTTATTAAGTATCCTTGAACAGATTATATGAATATAATAGTTGATACTGATTATATGAATATAATAGGTTATAAAGTATACTTGAACAGATTATATGAATATAATCAGGGCTCATCCTGGGGGGAAATTTTAGGGAGAAGTGACTCCCTCGCGAAAATTAGGGAGAAGGGAAACAACCCAATGTGTATGCATTAACATGCATGGCTATACATCCTTTAATTATAATATAAACACAATTAACATCACTTATAATATTTCTCCAGTTTATTAATTAATAGTAGATTAATTAATAGTAGTATTAATTAAAAGTAGATTAATTAGTAGTAGATCTGGCAATGGCATCTAAATGTTTTTGAGCTGCAAATATGAATATAAAAAATTATTTTTGATATCTATTGATCAGCTACTTATAAGCTTTCTCTAAATATGTGTTTATATATTTTCATATACATTTGTTGATAATAATGTGTAAGAAAAGATATGATGATAAAATCAATTTCATATTTTTTACTTTCCTCACTTTTAATAGAAGATGATGTCACATTGGATATTGATTAATAATATCTGTTCTATTCTGTTCTGGTAACAGAAATTTCTTTCGAAGTCCTGAATGTTGTAATGTCATATTTATATGCATATAATTATGCTTATAAAACAATTTTCAAACATCAAAGAATATGTAAAATATGTACTGCAAACATTTGTGCACATTATATTTGATCACTAAAATTACATACATTCATTTCTTATTGAAAAATTTGACTGAGAAATTGTAGAAAATTAATTTCTAATTACCTCCCTTTATTTTCATGAAATGTTAAATTAGGTAATATCTTTAAAAATAATGCTTTTTAAAATTTACAATATTGATAAATCTTAATCTGAGCGTCATATTTACGACATTAAAACAAATATTTATATTGAAACAATAAGAACACTTCTTTCCTGAAAAATTTTGTTGTTATATACGTTACATGATATCACGGATTTATATTACAATAATAATAATAATATAAATCCGTGATGATATACGACCGATCAAACTCCTCACAGTGATTACCTCCCTTGGCAGAATTGTAATCACTGCCTTCACAGACGTCACATGATGATGAAAGTCACATGACGTAACGTCGAAATTCAAATGTAAATATCGACCGTTACATAGAAAATCTAACGTCATTTTTCTTTTCCTGTTTTATTTTTAACTTTTTGTACCTACGTCCGATATATTTTATCAAAAAATTATCAAAAGTATTCAAAATAATGAAAAATAAATTAAAAAGCTAAAAAAGATAAATATCCAAATATTGATATTTCAATGTTTGTGATGGCAGAGATCTCTGTACTGATAAGGGGAGATCACTGCGTAGGAGATTGACGACCGATATGTAGTTTAGCCCACGTGCGTAAACTGTGTCAAATTTGGCATTTCTACAAAGAGAACAATGCCTAACACCCCCACTGTCTACAACATACCAATCGCATGGCTTTCTTAAATTTTCGCGTAGGTGTAACTATCAGAATCAGTAACTTTCTTACTGCTCGGTTTCGGCATTTCGCCTCGTAGCCATGACGTGAGCGACATAACAATTTTACAGTAAAAATTGATGTTAACAGACTGAAATCATTCAATCATTTTAATCAGGTCGCTGATCATTAATGAAATTGATTATTTTTAATTGACTAACAGTTTTGTGATAGCCGTGAAAAATCCGTTGTACATAGACTTTACTCGGGTTAAAAACCCACCACCGAAGTGCATCGTGTATATCAATTAGGGAAGATTGCACGTGTTTAGATAATCGGGGAAAAAACAATGTATAATTATCGCCAAATCCCGTATTAAACTCGCAAAACTATCACACAATTATACCGTTTCGGGTCGATGCTCTCATTATTTATTGTTTAGAGTAGGCGGTCTATCGCTTCGCTTACAGGTGAAGGGTAGTAGAAAGCGACGCTCTGATTGGATAATGATAATTAGCGGTCGTCATATGGGCGGATACAATCTCTGCTCTTTACATCGCTAAGTAATTACTATTTGGGAATTAAGATTTTATAGGCGATGTTGACTTCTCTTTGATCAATCGGAAGAGCGAAATTGGAATATACACGGCGAAGTTTTCGCCTGAATCGCCCTTCCGGATGAGCCCTGATAATAGGTTATAAAGTATACTTGAACTGATTATATGAATATAATAGGTTATAAAGTGTCCTTGAACAGATTTTATGAATATAATAGGTTATAAAGTAGTTACTTGAACAGATTATATGAATATGATAGGTTATAAAGTATACTTGAACAGATTATTAATTATTTATGAATATTATATAAGGTTAGAAAGTATCAGAATTTGTGTATGAATATAAAAGTATAAAGTATTCTTGATCAGATTATTTATTGATATAACAGGAGAGAGGTGAGGCTGTGATATTGCGTATAGAGGAGAGAATGCGAGGAGCATTGTCAGCCAAATACCAGGTACTCTTTAGTGATATAGGAAGAATAGAAGGCGGAGTCAAATTTCTCCTAGATATGAGAGCTGATATCATAGTAAGTATTAATCTTAATTAATATATAATCATATTATTAATATACCATCATGTAAAAGGTAAAAAGGAAAGCTATAATAAGAAATATTACTTAAGTAAGTCTACAGATGATAGTATAAAAGTAAAACACTAAATCAGCTATTTAAGGACATTGGCAGCTATTTAAGTGGATTGGTCTACAAACAGCACATTTTCCAATATTTCATCAAATGAAAAAAACCCAATTGAAATGTATCATTCTCGTAAAATTTTTCCTAGAAAAGAAATGTTGATAGCGTTCTAAGTGATTTAGTATGAACATTTAAACATGTACATGTATTGACTAATGATACTTTGTTCTAGAACTGTCATTTCTTGATATTTCAACACTGACTGAACATCTTAGTATTTCAGCACTGACTGAACATCTTGATATTTCAGCACTGACTGAACATCTTGATATTTCAGCACTGACTGAACATCTTGATATTTCAGCACTGACTGAACATCTTGATATTTCAGCACTGACTGAACATCAAATATTTCAGCACTGACTGAACATCTTGATATTTCAGCACTGACTGAACATCTTGATATTTCAGCACTGACTGCACATCTTGATATTTCAGCACTGACTGCACATCAGATATTTCAGCACTGACTGAACATCTTAGTACATAATGTATTTTAGCACTGACTGCACATCTCAATAATTCAGCACTGACTGCAAATTTAAATACTTCAGCACTTAATGTTAAAAATCCTTATATTTTAGCACTGACTGCTCATCTTGATATTTCAGCACTGAATATGAATCCAAATATTTCAGCACTGACTGCTCATCTTGATATTTCAGCACTGACTGCACATCAAATATTTTAGCACTGACCATCTAAGTACATAATGTATTTTAGCACTGACTACACATCTCAATATTTCAGCACTGACTGCAAATCCGAATGCTTCAGCACTTACTGTCAAATCCAAATATTTCAGCACTGACTGGTCATCTTTATATTTTAGCACCTACTGTCTTCCACCAAGGATATAGACCATGTAGACAGAGCCCACCTGATAGATCTACAGCATGCTTTAAGGGACATGTTGTCTCTCTGGTTCACTGTTGGATTCCTTAACCTAGAGAGGATCACATGGCACTCATCATGTGATATGCTGCAGAAGGTGATTAAACCTTTATTAACCTATAGCCTGATATATTTTGTATGTGTTTAATTTAAATTTCAAATGATCTAGAGTGGGATTTGATATCAAAATATAACAGTTAAGCTACCAACAGTAATAGGACCTTATTGTTCATACAAGTTGTGTCCAATATGTCTGTATGCTGTGTGTCCATTGTGTATGCACAAATAATGTCCAATGTGTTATTTTTTATTAATCATTGTCAAATTTGTAGTATAATTAGTGTCCTTTTTGTTTATTAAAAAAGACATCCTTTCTTATCAAATTTGATGGCTTTCTATAATCATAACATGTTAAGAGTAAATACAAATCAGTGATTTTTTTCCTGTATTTTACAGCCAAATAAAGGCTGTTACCCCCAGCCTAAAATAGGTATATTTTCCCCTAAAAATGCCAAAATATTTTCCCCTAAAATGCCCTGCGCACATTCTTCACAAGAACCATGACTTTATGCAGCTGACTATCAGCTAGAAGACAGAAAGCTGTCCCTATAGATAGCATCTTCTTTGTACTATGCAAGTTAAATTGAATTGAAATTGAAAATTTATAAAATGTGTGGGTAAATTCCATTCTCAGTTGTTTGAAATAGATTTTCACCTTTTCTGATTTATCACGCTATATTTTCCCTTTTGGAAAGCCACAGATTGTTTTGAAAATTGGAGAAAAAAAATAAAGCAAATGCATATGTACTTTCAAACTAGATTTCAGAATATGAGGCTGTTCATCCAGTTAGACACTGGCATGATTTAAAGAGACGTGTGGGACCATATCGTAGATGTTTCGTATTTACACATTCCAGTATGCCGCAGGAACCAATTGTAGTCTTACACTGTGCTTTGACACCTGAAATTTCATCTTCTATACATGTAAGTCTTGACCTTAGTGATGTCTGTTTGACTTATTCTGAAATATGATTTCACTTCACAAAGTAAGAGATGTTGAGTTGTGTAGGTCTCACAGACATACACAAATAGGGGTTTGAAGTTTTTCTATAATAAATTATTGAAGACTTATGATGACTCTGGTAGGCTGGCATTAGGTGGAGCTCAATTGTATTGTTTATTATGAATCACATCCCTACAGGAGTCTATTTTTGGTATTAACTAATGTAACTGTTAATTTTGTAAATAAAGAAACATTGGTCCTGACACAGTTGTGGTGTAACCCATGATACCTTGGTTGAGAAGCTGTCACCTGAACAATAAAGCCAACAGTATCCTAAGTTTCATGTTATCAATTAAAGATCATAACTGGATCAGTCTTAGAATTCAAGGTTCCACATTCAACAGCCTAAATTCTCTTGTCAAGAAGATTTTACACTATATTTAATTTCAAAATGTGAGAATTTTACTGTAACACGATCCCAAAAAAAACTTTTGTAGCTTTGATTTACTAGACCAGTTCTTAAATGTATTTCCAAGGCTGTTAAAAATTGCATGAACCTGCTGGACATTGTAACTTATGTATTATTTTAGTCAATCATTGGTAACCATGGTTACTCATCAAACAATCTAGAGCAGGAGAAGATAGAGGAAGGACCAGAAGACCCAACTAAAATCAATACAGCAATGTTCTACTCTGTCTCAAATTCACAAAAAGGTTGGTATGATTGTCTAAGTACATTATTTTTGATAGTTCCATAGATAATAGATATAGCTGTTTCGATAATAACAGTTCTCTAGTATTGTACATGATTTGATTTCATAAAACAGAAAAGAAAAAAAGAAAATATTTTATATTAATCTTTGTATTTATTGACTGACATAAAATGTGCATTAATTATTAACCCTTCAAGTGGCAATAGTAAAAGAATTAAGTCACCAGTTTTGAAACAAGCCAGTCTGACGCAACAAGTTATACTGATTGTGTTCGGTTTGAAATTTAAGAACAATAAACTTATATAACAATTTAAATGCCGTAAAGCAGAAATGCCTTTTACAGTCAACAGGATAAATATAAATGGTATATTTCTTTTCTGAACATTACAGAAGTAATATGGGTGACTTAGAATGCAGAATGCATTGTGTATACTAAGGTAGAATACTTTGAATAATGCTGTGTCAAATATTCTATAAAAAAAAACAAAAAACAAAAACAAAACACAAGTTGTTTTGGATTGTTTTCGATGGAGTAGCATATTTTGTAGAACACAGACATTTCATGGTTTAGGATTTGAAAAGTTTCATTCTATTGTTAGTCATTTGTTAACTCTTACAGGTTTACAAGGTGTGGATCTTGGTAACTATCTAATCAAGAAGGTTGCCGGGGAGCTTCAACACGAGTGGCCACAGATAACACAATTCTCCAGTATTTCTCCAATCCATGGATTCAGAGACTGGTTAATTAGTGAAATAAATCTTGCTTCAAGTAAGTATGTGCTTATGTGTTTGTGTTAACAATTTTAAAACTTAACACTCTTTATCATTGTATAGACAGTGCTTAAAAACAGGTTTCCTTATTTTGAAGTATCAGTAATGTCGGAGGAACTTGCATTTTGTATTCTTAAAAACATTTCAAATTTATAACACCAATAAACTTTTATTGACACTGTGTGGAATTTAAACTAGCAACCACCTGCTTACAAGTCAGTTAATACAATACTGTAGATGATCGTGCAAAAGAAATAATATCATGATGCAGTTTTAAGAGATTGATATTTTTTTGAAAGAGAGATTTTGATGTCATGGGGGAGGGTTTATTTATGTGGCATATTTTCTTGAGAAAGGGGAGGTTTTTTGTGGGTTTTTTTGGGAAATTGAGTCAGAGTTCTTATAAAGGTTTATTTTTGTGGCAGAAATATATTATTTTATAAAAGTTTTTTATCACCAAATATGAATTATAAACTATTCAGCTATCCTGCAAGTCCTTGTTTATGTCAAGTTAGATCTTCTAATAAATTCAGGATTTAAATTTGTTGCATTGGTATAATGAAACTTAATAAGTTTAATTTTAAATTTATGTGTATTAATTTATTGATGAAATTATTTATTTTTGAAATGTTAATATTATCTTTGCTTAGGAAAGGGTAAAAATTTCAGGATTCTATATACATGTAATTATTAAATTTTACGCTTTATAGACAATATATTAACATAATACATGTATTTTTTATACAATTATTTCTTTACTGTAGAGGACAAGGGAAGTCACTCTTCACAGTTATTGACTGAAGCTGAGATTGAATGTTTATGTAATGCATCAAATATTGACAAAGATTTTGCAACAGCATTACAAGTTTTTAAAGATCATGTCAGCCAACATTCCTGGGTGAAAAGTGAAGATATGATGAAAGCAATGAAGGCTCCATTAATGAGGTTGTGTGCTAGATACCTATACATTGAGAAAAGACGTGGATATGCATTAAATCCAGTTGGTGGGTATAATGGTTAACTGCTCTGAAAACATTATAGTACAGATTATCATCCACTTTATTTTTTATCCAAGTAACACTGAGCTACAAAAAGTGATTAGCCTTCACCACTAGCATAGAGTTTAACAGGTCTGCACTTCTGTGCAGTATGGCCAGGTTCATTTTACTATTGGCTGACCAACTTAAAATTTCAATCTTGATATACCTAAAAATCATTATGCACAGTGCCCGAATGGAAGCTGAATGGTCGTTTTAAAAGAATTTAGACGGTCGGATTTGTAGGTGAAGGGTTTGATTGGAAATATGTATACTTTTGCAGTATAAATAGTAAGAAAAGTGGCACACACAGTCAACACATGATTAGTTATAATCTATATATAACTGAAATAAAATGAACAATTTGACTGTAACAAGCCTTTTTCAGGGTTCTATGTTATATAATTATATTAATAGCACTTTCTTAGGAATTTCACTTTGTCATCTGGCTAGAACCTTGATGTTATGGGAGCTGACTTTAAATCACTGAACCCAAAAATGCTGACAAAAATGAAGAAGAAAAAAAGGTCATCGATTTTCAGCTTGTATGTTTTAAAGAAACATATATATTGATATATTATTGTCTCCATAGCAACATAATTGTCATTGTGTTTATGCAAAAACTTTACATAGACCATTATATTAATTCACTTCATATTGATGATATATGTAAAACTTGTACTTTTATGAAAGAAATTAAATTAAGAAATTAAGGTAAAATGACTTTTATTCCAACTTTAAGCCTAAAATATGAGAGAAATACAATTAATGAAATCAATCATTTAATATTGTATACAAAGAGTAAACCTGTCTAATATATCCAAGTTGCTGGCACTGTGTATATGAAAGGTACAAAAATGTTAATTTAAATTTTTGGTTAATTTAAGGGTAATTTATTATAACTTTTCTATTTTCAGCCAACTTCCATTTACAAAATGGAGCAGTTTTATGGCGTTTAAACTGGATGGCAGACACAACATTACGTGGGCTGTCAAACTCTTGTGGTCTCATGGTGAATTACAGATACTATCCGGAGGACACTGTGAAAAATAGTCAACAATATATAGAACTCAAATATATAAATACTTCAAATCATATACAACAGCTGTTGACCGCTGAGTAAAAATATATAATGTTTTTAATATGCAAAGGAAGTTAACTAATTGTGCCGTTAACTAAGTGTGCCTTTATGCAAATGGAGTTAACTAATTTTGCCTTTATGCAAAAGAAGTTAACTAAGTGTGACTTTATGCAAAGGAAGTTAACTAAGTGTGCCTTTCCTTGCAGTTTAACAAAATTGGACTTTGCCATAAGAAAACAGAATATTATGCATTTATGTTGTTATTCCTGTGATAAATGACTTAGATCTCCAAAATGAGTTATTTTGTCTAATACATGTAATTTGTACTTATTATTTAATGATGATTCAATTTTTCAAATAATCAAAATGTAAACGTTTTTTTTTAAATATATCTGACTTTTCTATGTTAACCTTATTTTTTTTCTTTATTAACAAAATCTTTACTTGTTATTTTTCTATCCCCTGCAGATGGAATTTGTATATTCAGGTTGTTTAAACTGTGTTGCCTGGGCCATCTAACTGTAAACCAGAAGACTTTTTTCTATAATGATAGACAAAGGGGCTGAGGAAACTCTATAAAAAACATGAAAATAACAAAAGAAATGGTCTGTCCGTCTGTCTCATGTAAGGGGATAGACATCATGGGGTTAGAGTTTGTGTATACTGGTAACATAACATTATGAAGTTCATTTCATACAAACTGTATTGGGGCTGAAAAAGTAGCTTGTGGGGTTGAAAAAGTGTTTGGGGTTGAAAAAGATCAAAAGAAGAATCCCATAATGTCTATTCCCATGAAGGATATGTTTGTCTGTCCATCCAAATTACATTTTCACACTATTTCTTGGCAACAATTGACTGGATTTCATTGAAACTTAATGCAAATATGAAGAAGAGATGCATTTATCATTTGCATGTCACAACCAGACCATTCAACTCAGTTGTATGACTCATAAATTAAACTAGGTCAAATTATTGTCTTTTGCTTGATTTTTTTCTGTTATTGGCTATAATACTCTGTTATTAACAACGACAAAATCTACAATTAAGAAGCTCAAACCGAATTTGACAATTTACAATTTATATAAATGACCTTGACATATTTAATGTCAAATTATCAAATTTTACTAAAATTAGCTTTAAATTAACTTTATAATAATAATAATAAACTCTTTATTTAACGAAGGTAACTTATTAAGACAATACATCAAAGCATTAGATACAACACATATAATGCAAAATCTTATTTTCAACAAGGCCTTCAATAAAACATAAACATAACAACGGACATATTAAAGCTATTGTAAAGATTACAACATTCAGTAAATCTTAATCAACAAAGAAGACAGACATAATATTATATTATAGTATAGGTAAATTTTCTATAATTCATCTCTAGATAATAATAAATGTTTGAAATGTGATTTAAATAATTTAAGACTTGAAAGATTTCTTATTTTTAAAGGAATAGTGTTCCATAACTCCATACTAGAATAATAAAAAGTACGTTTCAAATAATTTGTTTTAGGTCGTTTATGCATAATATCTTTTTTATGTGTTAATCTTAGTAAGTAAGTTTTATTTTGAGATAACGGAATTAGATTAGAAATATATGCTGGCGTTAATTCATTCATCGCTTTATATACCATAATTCCAGAAAAGTATTTACATCTAGATGGAAAAGATAACCATTTCATACTTTGAAACATATCAAGAGAATTTGTTTTTACGGGTTTATTTAAAATAATTCTAGCGGTTCTTTTTTGTAATTTTGTTATTCTATTTAGATCTGATTTGTTACATTGGGACCAAATAATACATCCATAATCAAAAGTAGGGGCAATGTAAGCGTTATAAAATAATTGTTTCATTTCAGGTGTAAGAAATATTTGAATTCTTTTCAGCAGAGATATTTTAGAAGCAAGCTTAGAACATGTTTTGTCAATATGTGTTTTCCAAGATAGACAGTTATCAATATGCAATCCAAGTAGCTTTTGACAATGAACATTATTTATACTCGAATTCTCAATATGTAGAGAAAGATTGCCTATGTTATTTATTTTACATTTTGATCCAATTATCATGCACGTGGTCTTTTCTGGATTTATGGCCATATTATTGAGAGTGCACCATTCCTGTATTTTTTGTAAGTCTAGTTGCAACTCAGACAGTATAAAAACTTTGCAAATTGACTACATGTAATTTGATTTATGCTTGCCCGCCCGATTAGACAACACTTCTGGTTAAATAATTTGTGACCTTGACCATGAAATGAAATCTTTACTGTCAAATTATTGTATTGTGTTAAAATTGTCATAATATAATTATCTAAGATAGATTTGATTTTTTTCTCTCAACAAAACAAACTTAGAAAAAACCAACATGATGAACTTTAACATGATCTGTGGTGCACTTGTTGGGGTTAGTAATGACCAGTATTCCGCGGGAGATAAATATATGTTCAACAAATTTGTTTGTTTATTTTTTAGCTCGACTATTCGATAAGAATAAGTAGAGCTATTGTAGTCACCCGAGCGTCGGTGTCGGCGTCGGCGTAACCACTCATGTTAAAGTTTTTGTAATAGTTCAAATATTTTCAAAGTCCATTGACATATGGCTTTAAAACTTTGCACACTTGTTCACCATCATGACCCCAACCTGTAGACAGGAGGAGGTAACTCTATCAAGCATTTTGACAGAATTATGCCCCTTTTTCGACTTAGAATTTACGTTAAAGTTTTTGTAATAGTTCAAATATTTTAAAAGTCCATTGACATATGGCTTTGAAACTTTGCACACTTGTTCACCATCATCACCCCAACCTGTAGACAGGAGGAGGGAACTGTATCAAGCATTTTGACAGAATTATGCCCCTTTTTCGACTTAGAATTTACGTTAAAGTTTTTGTAATACCTCAAATATTTTCAAAGTCCATTGATATATGGCTTTGAAACTTTGCACACTTGTTCACCATCATGACCCCAACCTGTAGACAGGAGGAGGTAACTCTATCAAGCACTTTGACAGAATTATGCCCCCTTTTTCGACTTAGAATTTACCTTAAAGTTTCTGTAATACCTCAAATATTTTCAAAGTCCATTAACATATGGCTTTGAAACTTTGCACACTTGTTCACATCATCATCCCCAACCAATAAACTGGAGGAGGTAACTCTATCAAGCATTTTGTTTTTACTATCAAGCACTAAGAATAGTCGAGAGCGTTGCTGTCCTGATACCGGACAGCTCTTGTTTACCATTTTAGAAATAATCTGCATGTATTAAAAGTGCTTTTAAGAAATGATAAACTTGTCTGATCAGATTAAGTAGTTGTACTGTGTATTAATAAATCAGCTTTAGCATAAAACTTTCGTAGACAGCAGAAACCCCCCCCGGCGGTTCTTATCCCTGAAGAATGGTGGTGACTTTGACTTTTGATTTTCTTTAACCTTGATATAAACCCTAATTGCCTTAATAAAAAGCTTTGTTGACAGGCACTGGGTAAAATCCTTGCTAAATGCTCAGAATTGAAAATTTCAAATATCCTAGTTCAATTTATTGTTTACTAACTGGATACAATATAATTAGTTATTGGTAATGCTGGTGAGCAGCGTCGTCTCTTATGGAATGTTTGGAATGCTATTTTTTTGGGGCCCATGGAAGGAGCAGTTATTATTAGCAGTTCATGTCATGCTGTGTTAATTAGTTTTATTTTGTTTTATGTTTGAGTAATATCACTGCCTAGAAGAGAGATTCTGACTCAAAACAAAAGAAACTCGGACATAGTTAACTTAAAAGACATTATATTAATCACTATACAACCACCACAAAATGTGTAGGCGACTATACTGGAATCACCTGTCACGTCAGTTGGTCCTCCATGCATCGTGTCCACTCTATGTACATCCCAGAGTTCAAATGTGATACTTGATCCTTATATGAAAAAAAAACGCATTGGTCAATGGATAAGTTGTTATAAAGGCCCTGTCACACTAGACTGCTCTTTTATTGCGTTTGCACGGCATTGTTGAATTTAACAAAGTGCCGCAAGATCGCAAGAAAAATCTGATATTTTTGTTAACATTGAGACTTCACGGCGATCATGGCGTCGCTACGGTGCTTACACGGCGTTATAAAGCGTAATCCAACGGCGTTTTGATTGGCGATTGTCTGCGTTCGGACTGCGCTTCTACTGCGTTCTTTGCGCTTTCATGGAGCTTATATGAAGCACTCGCGGCGTTCACACTGCGTATATATCGTGTTTCATGTAAGGGGATAGACATCATGGGGATATCACTGATGTTCTGGAATAGTCGCGTACCAGTGCTGCCGTTCATCACCATGTTAAAAGACATTTATTTGCAAACACGTTTATATATAACAGTGGAACCCTCTATTAAGGGTTTAGGGACACCAAAAGGACTAGACTAAAGTTCAGTGGTGATCTTAATTGCGGATGTCTTTTAATCATGGCGGTATAATTATCATGCAGTATACAGTGTAATTATTCCATGACCCTTTCTATTTGAAATTTATGTGTATAACATGTGTTTTTAAACAATTATAATTATTATAACCTTCAAATATTACTATAAACTGATGTTATAATATTTAATCCTAAAAAGAACTAAAGTCTGAAGATATTTAATACATTGTATCAAAGATTGATTTTCATAGGTCTTGTTTCATGTACATAATTCCTTATTTATTAAGAAATTAATTCTTCACAAAATAAATTTGCAACTTGGAACTGAAACTGGTGGTCTTAAAAGTGGATAAGTGGTGAGGTCTTAACTGTGGATCATGCTACCATTAACATAAATAACAGAAAATCTAGTTCTTTTGAAAATTGGTCTTTATACAGGGGTGATCTTAATTCCGGAATGGTTTTAAGTAGGGATTCTACTGAACTGTATTCTGCAATATCAGATGAACGCAGTAGAATCGCCTTGAAAGCACAATGGTCGCCGTGACAGTGCTGATAAGTCGTAGTAAGACTTTTGTGAAAAAAAAAAACTCCGTACAAGCGACGTACATACACAGTATAGGTGCGATAGAGACGCCGCACAATCTCTGTACAAGCGCCATGGCTAACAATGGCGTTCATTCGTCGATCGTTCTGCGCTTTCACACCGGTTCTGTTGCATTGTAGGAGATGCTATTGAGTTGCTACGGCTTCCTAACTTGTGTGTGTGTTTGGTTTGTTTACCCTCGCCACCGGAATGAACCATATGGGCGAGCACATACTTCATTTAAAACTTGCTTAATTTGTATGGGAACTAATTTAATTTGTCTACAGTTTTATCGGTACATGTGTTTACGTGTGTGCCATAATTCCTACCACAAGTTCGTATAAAAGTACGTAACCCATGATAGGAATAAGATGGGATTGCTCCCATACTAAGTTAAAATGACGTGTATTTAAAAAAAATTGAACAGCATATTTAAATTACCTAAGGTTAAAAGGGCCGAGACGTTTATAAAAAGCACCGTCTCTTATAACAGGTCAACTATTATAATATTCAATGATTAAAATGATAGAGAGAAAGTCTTGTTAAAGCAATGTCAGGAACGCATTTTCCCAATTCAATGTGGCTAGTCATTTAAAGGCCTGATTTGATCAGATACATACACAAAGGAGTGTCAGAATATTAAAAAAACAAGTTTGTTTTAGTGTGGAAAAGATAGAATTTAATAAATTTCTAGTATATTTCACCCGAACACCTGCTTAGTTAAAGATGTTCTTATTGGTCTAAAAGTGATTGCCTCCTTTGTTCTCATTGGCCGAAATTTCTTTGTTTACCAAATAAGGAGGTCAATCCGATTTTGTGATATTTTGCAAATTTTCTTAATTTTCGGATTGACCTATATCGACAAGTTTGTCGCGCGAACGTGATAGAAATTTAGCAGGTGCCCTTAACACTCCATTGTATTGCATCTGTACAACTATTAACAAATAAGGATAAAACAACAAAAAGCTTGTAAAATAGCAATTATTAAATCAATGGTCTAATCTAGCTTAGAAAATTCCCAAAATATGGCTATTAAGTAATATCTTTGTTACCCTTAATGTGATGAAGTGACCTTTTTTAACAAATAAAAGGCCACTTCATACTTGAGTGTATGCGTA